GGCAGATGGCGCAAGTCTTTTGTAGAACATGGTCAAAGGAAATGCACTTTATGTAATCAAAATGATATTGCCGATGAATTCCACTATATGTTAAAATGCCCTTTCTTTTGTTTTAGTAGGAGAAGCCTAATTCCAAGTAAATATTTCAATCGACCGAACACACTAAAATTCAAAGAACTGATGCAGTCAATGTGGCGCCGTTAAATGTCGCAACGCCGTTAAATGTCGCACTTGCCGCTAAATGTCGCACCAATGCCGCTAAATGTCACAACCGCCGCTAAATATCGCAAAATCATTTGCCGTTAAATGTCGCAATGTCAACGCTAAATGTCGCACGAATTTCCCTTACCGTTAAATGTCGCAACACTACCGTTAAATTTCGCAAGATTGAACTCAAGTTTTATTGTTGTATCAAATTAATTAAATCTGCCTTCTCAAGACGAATTTTGTCTGTTTGACGCGAGTGAATTTATTATATATGGAACTGCTTTTCAATTTTGGCTCATAATACTCATCTTGTTAATAATGTATATTGTTTTGCGTTGGATTTTAGCTGAACTTATGCAAGTAAATATTGATAATTATACAATTGTATACTTTTTGTATGAAACTGCAAAATTGGCATTGTTCTGTAAATAGTTTTGTATGATCATGTCTGTAAAATTGGCAGAAGAGACAGCCTAACGGTCTTGCTGCCTGAGGTGGCAGTTTGATGGCCTTGTTGACGGAGGAGGCAAATTGTCTCGCAGTCGGAAGAGGAAGCCTAAATAGCTGACGACCTGGGCCTTAGGAGTTTGCCTAACGCCCTGGAAGCTTAACGTTGGCAGCCTAGTATCATGAGGAGGCCGCCTAACATCTTAACAGCCTATCGATGTCAGCTTTGCAACCTGAAGTTGGCAATCTAACAGCCTCAAGTCGGCAGCCTAGTAGCTAAAAGTTAGTGACTTATATTATAAATATTGAAACAATTTAAAATACAGTAAAATCACTATGAAAGGTCTTGCAAAGCACATACAAATGCATGATTATGGAAAAAAACGCCTTTACCTTAAGGGCACTGAACTTTTCAGTGTAATAGCCTAAAGCTGGCAGTCTAGGAGCCTGGCCGCCTAAAATTGGTGTCATGTTATAAAAAATGGAACGATCAAAATAATAAAATGGCATGTTGGATTTTTCCTAAAATCTACTCGTACAAATGGCTTCATAATTTACACATTTATTAATCAATACAGTATACTTGATCCTGGCAAGTTATATGATTATTGCATAAATCTTTATCAAATTATTGCCATTTTCAGCAGTTTGACAATGAATATCGTCAACCTAAACCGGCAAGATGGACTTTTTTAAGTACTGGCTATACTTATGGCTTCATAATTTCCACACTTACTTATTTAGAGAAAGTTCATGATATTGCCAAGTTATATAACTCTGACATTCATTTTCCCAAGTTATATTCCTTTTTTTTCACTTTGAAAATAGGACCTTGTATGGTTAACCTAATACTTTTAATGGCCGTGTATTTTTTGTGGAGTAAGGGGTCTCTAGTGTCAAGGTCACTGGTGTGAATGTTTTTATATCATTTTCGCTCATTTAGCCTTTATTGTTAAGTTGTATCATAGTTTGGGAACCTTGCTGTTGAAAATGTGTCAGAGTTAAATCGTATACATATACATGCACAGTGCGTTAACTGGAGTGCAGGTATTAGTTACCCGTACTCCAGAGCATGCCCATTGATTGGTTCATTTTGTCCGGGGTTTACATATTGTGACGACAGAGAAAGGGATAGCGATGGAAATATCATATTCAGATGCTCGTTCATTTGTTACTTTTTGTAGGGTTTCAATATGTGGTATCAGGGAACGTGTTTTTATGTTTGACTATGATACAAAAGAGAAAGAACATCAAAAAACTCGGCAATCTGATTTATACTCGGGGGCTACGCCCCCTCGTACAATCAGATAGCCTCGTGTGTCGATGCTCTTTCTATTACTTAATGTATTTCATGTTTAATACAAACATGCCAAGGGAGGTCCTCGTCCTTTGGGTTTAGTTAGGGGTCCTGTGGGTCAAGGCCAAAGTCACCAATGCCAAAAATAGATTTTCACATTTTTACAGGTGCATTAACATTATTCTTTTGAGAGATGACTTTTATATTTGTAGGAACATAAAATTGAAGTATTCTCCTTTGAATGGAGTAAGGGTTCAGTTGGGTCAAGGTCGCCAGTTCTAAAAATAGATTTCTACACTTTTACAGCCTTTATTTATTGACAAATGTATTTCATATTTGGAAGGTAGATAACTTGCATGGTATTCTTCCTTTTGATTGAGGTAGGGATCAATGGGGCATGGTCACAAAAGTTAAAATAGATTTTAATTTGCAGAGTGAAGTTCACACAAACAGATAACGCTTTTATCAAATTTGCTTCTCGTATGCGTGTTTTTATTTCCATTTTAACGCCAGAAAGGCAGTGGTTATTCATATTATTGTTGAAATGAATTAAAAAGATGTTTTCTTTACACATCTGTCTTATGTTTTTGTTTTGAAAAATAAAGTTCTTAAAATTATCTTAAAATAGATACTCTATTGTGCATATGTTTTGTATTTATGGTCATTTGATCTTCACTATGACGTACTCGACATGCGCATTCGGACATGATAAGAAAAAAAGTTCAAATCAAACTCGTGAATAAAAATACGAGCATAAAAGTGGTTACAAATATCTAACTAATATCTTCATTACATATGTATTATTCATGTCTTGTGTTTTTCGAAAGATGTCAGATTTAATTTCATTGAAATATTTAAAATGAAGCTTACAGATAAAGATTTTCATTACAGCAAAGCAATGATATAAAAAGCCTAAATTCTTTGGCCAATACGGCTAGCTGTCTTCAGCCAAATAGCAAGGCCAATATGAGCTTAACCCATTATTTGTATTCTTATTATATGGTATTTACTGAGAATCTTTCATAGGATAAAGCGACTTGGCGAGTAAAATATCACTTGCCACAATGTCAAAGCGTAAATAGTGTTTGACAAATAGTAAAATGTACTAAATCTTGTGAACTCATTCTAACTTCTGCTTACTGTGTGTGTATTTATACTCGCCACCGTTTGCCCATATTGGCGAGTCCTCCAGAAGTGTATTAGTCATTTTAGATTTTGGAGATAGTGCAATTACAGGTACAGAAAGATGCCCCAATTCCAGAAGCTTCCCCTGGTTCTTTAACGTGCCAAGTTGTTTAAGCACCCATACATGGGACCTCGATTAAAAGTGTTATCCGAAAGACTGATTAGTAATTTTAGTTGACCAGTCCGGGAATCGAACCCACAAGGTCGAGATTACAAGTCTCGCGCTCTAACCGATTGAGCTATGCGGGCTGGCTGCTAACAAAAATTCCGGTGCATATTATGTGTTAATCGTAAAATTCGGTCACATCTAACGCCCTACTGCGGATCGAATACTAAATAATCAAGGAGTACTACATGATAATTTTTGTTTTCGATTTTCGTATTGACCGTGCATGTCTTACTTTGTTTTTCACGTATTTGGCGTTTCTGACAAAAATAAAAAAATTTGCCTTCACGTTCGAAGTGAATATTTAATATGTATTTTGGGGGGAAATATAAATAGGGAGATAATTTAGCAAAAATATCTGTCAGGATCATCTGTCCTTTAGAAATGCATTAGTACTTTTATATGAAATAAGTATTTAAGTTTAAAGTGAATATGTTTGAAATTAGCCGTAACCAAAAGGTTAATCAGAGCGAAAACATCTTAGTGAAATAAGGGGAATAACTTTGCAAACTATATATTCTCTAGAAAGTCCAAGTAAAAGTTTCAATACGACCCTTCTTAATGTAACCTCATACATATTCATAGATTTCTCAGAACGAGGCTAACAGGGCAAGCTTTAATATCTGCTCTATGTAAACGTATGACGAATATATGGCCGAAAGATTTTCCTACAGTGGCAGAGATCTTCATATTGTACCATTTACTACATACTTGTTGAGAACTTTATTTAACATTACAAAAATCTCTTCTGGAGATAAATAAATCAACAACAGGGTTTAATTTATGCTATATACAGTGAAGGATATACATGTATTCAAGACCTGAAAAGTGAATTAATGTTTATGATAATTCCAAGTAATTTCTAATATTCCGTGTCAGAATAAATATCATGTTAACTCTTTGCAACTTATACAAACATTATCTGTGTTATCAGTATTTTATTGCTAACCTAAAAACATGTTGGTCAAGAATGTATAAAGCAATTAACTGATAATAGATGTTAACAGCTGGATGCTGAATTCTGTACCATACTTCTCCTAAATTTAGCTATTGAAATAAAAAACAAGTTTTATTCACTTTGCATTTAAAAGTAAAAAAATCTGGATGACTGTTTAGTACATAACTGGTTAATTTTACAGACAGCCTTATCAAATCAAAATAATATTTTGTTTAGATATGACATCACATCCCCGTTTTATACATTTCAATGGATTTTCAGTATCTTAACACATGATGTTGTTTACAGCAATGTAAAAATACATTTTAAGCTAAGTAAAGAACGTAAAACTTATATGTTATCAACTATTTAAATTAATTACAGTATGAAATACTTAGTATATAACGAATTACAATCATTTAATTGCAAAAATCAGTCAAATCTTAAGACGAAGCTGAGGTGTCATTAGCTTATTGCACTTGTCAAGTTGGACCGACTTGATTATGTGGTCATATTGTTGGAAGCCTGTACTAGCTGGTATATAACAAATCATAAGGATACACGGCACTTCTAGAAGATTATGCCTGGACTAACCAACCCCATACATTCCATGTACTTAGGGGATTGAACATTTGCGGAAAACTTAAGCAGGACCTTGCAGTCGGAGGGTATTAGGAAAGGAAGCATCGAGTTTCAGCACTTCTTTTAACATTCCAAGACAAATTCACTCAACAGTATATAATGCAATAAGAGGACAAAATATGTAATTAACATGTTGACATATTCCCTGCAGCTGGACCATATATGCAACAAAGCACAATGTTAAAAACAAAGTAATGCGATGATTTAGAACTTTTTAATTATTTATTTTAATGTAAGACGCAAAAGACTAAACAAATGGTCCTTTAAAATATGCTAAAAAACATTTCGTCAGCTTGCAACATCCCTCTCTTTCTACCAGTCAAGCTGATTGTTTTGCTTGCTTCATTATAAACACTTTTAATGTTTTTGCTGATGTTTTATAACATTGAAAACTGTAATGAATATATATATATATATGTTGGAAATCCTGTATAACAAGGTATACAACTGTCATCATTTGAAAATTTGTTCGTATCAAACGTTCAATATCACATTGACGTTTGTATCAAATGTTCAATATCACTGTTTGTTTTCTTCCTAAGTTTTCTGTAATTCTTCTTTGAACTGTTTGATAGTTTCTTTTTCATCTGTTATGCATTTGCCATGAAGAGATATTACAACTTAAGGCGATTCAAATACCAGTTGTCAATTTGTGTTCATGACTGTTATCAAACGAATTCCTGAAAAATATATATATATATACATTTTATTTAGAAATGGAAACAAGGATTATGACATTTCTAGAATATATCAATTAATATTTTAATTGCACATACATTTTGACAATGGCTGAACTTTATTTATGTTTAAAAATAAAAATTAAGTCTTGTGTTGTACCTTTCATCTGGCAAAATCTTCTCTAGTGGACATCATACTGTTGTGTTCATAACTTCTCTAGTCAAACATCTATTATCTTCAGATTTTTTTCGAAATGGTGTCCATGATCGTTAATCTTATTGTGTGAAATGCTTCAAAACGAGCAACTGTTGTCATGTATTGATCTGAAATAGTACATAAAATAACTGTTATTGCTTTTTAGTATAAAAACGGTATTGATTTAGATTCTGAAGCAATTATGTTTTAAATGTCATAATTATAAGTGTGATATTTAAATGAAATTCATGAACAAAACATATTTTTATGTTAATAATTAAATAAAACATTAAAAATAATGAGAAATCAGATTAATTAAGATAAGTAGTAATACATCTAAAGTAGCTTGGTTTAAAAAAGAATAGAACAATGGAATTTTACCTTGAAATGTTCTCATTCATTCCTTTTTATTTTCACAATCCCTGCACTTATTAAACTCACATCCTCAGGTATTTTATAAAAAAAATAACCGTATAATCATATCCAGAATTGGAATCACATAGTGGAACACAACAACAAAAATGAGGTTTAACACGCTAGGGCTTATCAGGTCAGACATTATTTGTTTACATTCATGCCCTGTTAGCCTCTCTCTGGTGATGGAATGTAAAGCATGCATATAATTTGAGAAAGGCCAAAGTAAAGGCACATAATCTAATGATTACATATAACATGTACAAAAATTTGCAGTACATATTCTTCCATGTTTTAAAATTGTTTTAGAAGCATAATTATATAGATCTGTACATATATAAAATTTCACAACCTTAATAACAACAAACAAGATCTTTATTCTCCTAATTTAACCACCAAAACACAAAGTTATCATTTAAAACATATGCCCTGTAAAAACATCAAACAATTCTTACAAAAAAATATAATATATGAAGTAATCCAAAGGTCCTATTTAAAAAAATAGTGGTGTTTGATCCAGAAGTTTTTGTTTGTAATGGCGATTATATTTCACATCTCACCGTTTGTTGACAATCATCATGAATTTTCACAATAATTTTATTGTAGGTTAAAAACCATCATGAAGATACGTTTATATATTTCAGAATTTTTTATGTTATAAAAGCAGAGTGTTGTAGTAAGTAATGTTTTAATTGACTTCGCATATCATGGATATTATTTAGTTAAAAACACTTATACAGTAAACCGAAAGTAGAACAGTTCATTTTCAATAAATGACACATTCGGTCACCTGCAATCATGTGACTTATGTACAGTATCTCAACTCGGAAGTATATTAATAGAAACTCGGACTAGTTGCATATTATTAAAATTTTAAATTTAGCATTAATTAATGATCATGTGAGAATGACAAAATAAACAATAAGTTGAATAACTAGCTTGAACATAAAATCATAAAATGCTGAAATGGCTTTAGACAGTGTAAGACTATTTAGATGTGACTGCACAGGGTGTATAAATTTATCATTGTTTATGAGACCTTATTGAAGGAACTGATCCAATAATTCTGGGTAAGTCTAGGTTTCCCAAAAGAATGCTTTAAAAAATGGTTAGGGATGTTTTGATTTTTTGTCTTCAAAATTCTAAGGAAACTGTAATTAAGATTCATGATTATAGATTTAATTCCTACTTGGACAAAATAACACTTATTGCAAATCTGATATGTTGAATTATCGAAGTTTGACATTGACTGTCATTGTCATTTTAGTGTATGTTGTGTTATTAATAAACATATATTATTGATTCATACTTTGAGAAAACAACACATAAATGTTACTAAGAGCTGTCATATATAGAAACAATCATAGATCTATGCTATGTTGTTATTTTTCTGTCAATAGATGATTAATACAGATTTGAAAAATCAATAATTTTGTCTACATGTAATTAATAAAATGTCTAGAAATTATGAAAATTCACCTAAATTTTGTACATAAGCAGGTGCCCAGTTGTAAAGAACTGTCTTCCAATGTTTTGTTACATATTGACCATATTTCTTTACAGTGATGACAAAAAAAACGGTCGGAAATAACCATTCAGTAGGCTTAAACAAGTCACATTATACATTTTACTGTATGCATAGAAAATGCATTTTACTGAAATAATAAAAGTACCGGTAGCTATGAAAGTGAAATATAGATAAGTAATACTCAATGTATCAGTAATACATTGTATTTGTCATCCGATATTTATTTTACATCCATATGCTTTGGCCTGAATAAATGACAGCTCTACTATTGTCAAAGACTACTTTTAAGTGTTTTATTTATGAGACTCTAGTTATTTGTATGTCTTTGTAAGAATGAAATTATTTTATTTGTTTCTCTGTGTATATTTTTCATATAGCCTAACTCGAGAGTCTAACAATGTGGTGCCGTGGTATGAGTTATCTGCCCTTGTTATTGGTTGTTTTATCTGTAGCAACTTTTGTGGTGACATACATTATAGCAATTTTGAATGATGACATCTCTCCAGAATTCCCGTATATTAGGTATATCTCAAAAACTTTATGTTTTACCTTTTGTTTGTATAGTTTATATACTAACTTACGTTTTCATGTACACTGTAGCACTTTTCTATCATAGTAGCGTATGAATTTACAACTTCGTTCATAACAGAAAAAATGAGTACATTCTATGAATGGAATTCATTCATAAAAGGAGCGCGGGAATGACATTATTTAAAACACTCGGGCTGTCTTACATGGGGGTTGTAAGACAGGTTTTTCTAGCACCGATGAAACAGTAGATAATCCTGTCTGATATGCAAGAAATTTCCTTTTAACATATAAACTGAGCATCTGCACTCCATACTGTGCAATATTAAATGTTAAAGGAGGTGGGGATGCATGAGTGTGGGTTTACACATATTACTGTTTTGATGAGAGATTCTGTTAATTTTCAGTGACACAGGGACCAAGCCCCCAGAAAGTTGCATATTCAGTCAGTTTTTGAATATTTGTGCAGCGCTTTGTAAGTATAATTCTTGCATATTTCTGTTTTTATCTGGTTCTTTTCTGTTTTGTTTATTTGTTAGCTTAACTATTTATAGAATAGGGAGAACTTTTGTACTCTCCCAGGTATCAGCATCATGCTTTGGTTAAGGTTTTCATTTCTGAAAATTCTGGAAATAAGATTTGTGTATGAGGGGAGAGTGTACATTTGTATAGTCAGGTGTCCAGGTTTGTGTCAGACAGGTGGTTTCCGGACAATAACTTGAGTTAGAAATTCAAATTTGATGTAAATAGCATGCTTATATGGAGATCTTGAGCCAGCCTGCATAGCTTAATTGGTAAGAGCACAAGACTTGTAATCTCAACATTTGATTCCCGGGCTGGCCATCTAAAATTACCAATCATCCCCATATGGGCAACTGGTGGCGAGTATAAATAAATTCAGATACACTCACACAATGGAGACCTTGCTTGATATTTCTTTTGGCCATCTAGACTCAAAGTCACTGTTACAAGAAATAGTAAAATATGGTGTCTGGTCAATAACTAGAGTTAGAATTGAGATATTATGTTCAAGTTAAAAGTATAATGTAAGCTTATATGAAGATATGCTTGGGGTGGCTTTTGGGTTTCTTAGGGTTAAGGTCACTGTTACTTAAAATAGAAAAATGGTTCCCAAAGTTGATTTTCCATTTTGCCAAATTTTGCATCATAAGGATTTATTTTATATTTAAGACTCGAATAGGTAGGGAAAAGTACACATAGTACACTACATGTATTTATGTTTTCAGGTTTGTGTACTATTTTTGTTTTCTGGTTTGTGTACTATTTATATTTTCAGGTTTGTGTACTATTTATGTTTTCTGGTTTGTGTACTATTTATATTTTCAGGTTTGTGTACTATTTATGTTTTCTGGTTTGTGTACTATTTATGTTTTCAGGTTTGTGTACTATTTATGTTTTCAGGTTTGTGTACTATTTTTATTTTCAGGTTTGTGTACTATTTATGTTTTCAGGTTTGTGTACTATCTATGTTTTCAGGTTTGTGTACTATTTATGTTTTCAGGTTTGTGTACTTTTTATGCTTTCAGGGTTGTGTACTATCTATGTTTTCAGGTTTGTGTACTATTTATGTTTTCAGGTTTGTGTACTTTTTATGTTTTCAGGTTTGTGTACTTTTTATGTTTTCAGGTTTGTGTACTATCTATGTTTTCAGGTTTGTGTGCTATTTATGTTTTCAGGTTTGTGTACTTTTTATGCTTTCAGGTTTGTGTACTATCTATGTTTTCAGGTTTGTGTACTATTTATGTTCGTTACAAGCTAGTAGAAGTGCTGGGTGATACTGTGGAAGATGCAAAGTTAAGAAGATTGAATAAAGTGAGACTTTTTCTAGGGGTACTGACAGCCTTTGGTTTAAGTCTTGTTGCCAATTTTCAGGTAAATTTTGAATTTAGATATGACAATTTAAGTTAAATTAACTAGAGTTCACAACTGAAAATAACCAATTCCAAGATTGGAAATAATACACAAAAGACAGGGTTATTCTGTCTACTTTTCATGTCTGTTACATGTCTGTTACACAGTTTTTCTGCAGATTTTTTTAAATCTGACTACATGATAATTTCTCATCTTTTGAGGGACTTTACTCAGATATTTTTAAGTGGAAGAACTGGATTTTTTTTCTTTTCAAGATTTGTGTATTTGATATGATATATGGGGCAAGTAACTTGTGTAAAATTTTGCAATAATTAACTCCATTTTTCCATATTAATTTTTGTTATTTTTTCTTGCATAAAACCACCCAAAATTGAAATCAAAATTTGGCCTTGGTTGGCCTTGACATTCCCATTGGCCTCATATTTTCATTATAGAAATTAATGACCTTGTCTAGCAATTTACTTCTGGTGCATGCTCTAGGGCCATCATGACCTTCTTATTTCTTGATATAGTTTTAATGATTGATTATTTCTTAGTTTTGTCTTTCTTTACTATCCAGTATTACAAAATTGTACACTAAGTTCACATACATATTTGAATTTTAACTAAATGAAAACTGGATATATACATGTGTAATGAAAATTATAAGAAATAAGCTTCAGACAGTAATAAAAATTCTAAGAAATATGCTCAAGACAGTAATGAAAATTCTAAGAAATATGCTTCAGACAGTAATGAAAATTCTAAGAAATATGCTCTAGACAGTAATGAAAATTCTAAGAAATATGCTTCAGACAGTAATGAAAATTCTAAGAAATATGCTCTAGACAGTAATAAAAATTCTAAGAAATATGCTCTAGACAGTAATGAAAATTCTAAGAAATATGCTTCAGACAGTAATGAAAATTCTAAGAAATATGCTCTAGACAGTAATAAAAATTCTAAGAAATATGCTCTAGACAGTAATAAAAATTCTAAGAAATATGCTCTAGACAGTAATGAAAATTCTAAGAAATATGCTTCAGACAGTAATGAAAATTCTAAGAAATATGCTTCAGGCAATGGAAATTCTACACCTTTATGAGTGAAGGCATTTTACAGAATATTATATTTTGTCAACAACATCGTTTGAACAAAATGACATATACCTGTAAAAACATAGTCCTACTATAGCATTGCTTAGTATATTTAAATTGATTGTATATATGTCATATTACTACAGGAGACAAATGTTGAGCCAGTGCATTTAACTGGGGCGGCACTTGTGTTCTGTGTGGGCGTGGTCTATGCCATAATTCAGACAGCACTATCGTACCATATGGAGCCAGACTTCAATGGGAAATATATATGCCGTGTTCGCCTTACTCTGACTATTCTCTCAACATTGGTCATGGTAATTAGTATCCTTTTTTGTCTGTCCATGTCACAAAGTCAGATATTATAAATGCTTGACATATTTGTTTGTAAGTGTAGTTTTAAATGTAAAACTGTGAAGGCTAGAGCTTAGATATATGGCATGAAACTTTTTCTAGTGGACTTTTACCAAGATTGTTTAAACTATAGCCTTGTGGTCAAAATTGGGTCTTCATTTTGGGGCCATGGATTTTCATTATTCCTGTATATTTTTAGTATAAAAAAACTTCTCCATTGGAGTCAAGAAGGCTAGAGCTTAGATGTTTGGAAAAGAAACATTTTCTAATAGACATATATCTAGGTAGATCATATTTTAGCTCTAAGTAAAAAATTACCCCACCCCCCCCACACAGTTTAAATTTCATTTTATACATCTTGGAAATACTTAAAAAAATCTTCTCTGAATGCTTAGAAGTTTGTCTTGAAACAAACATTGTTTAGTGAAGCTCCTCCAAGTTTGTTCAAATCAAAGCCTTGGAGTCAAACGGTGTTCCCGTATATGCCATTTATTAAACACTTTTCTCTTATGAGCCAAAATTTTTTTGAGTTTATATTTTTGGCATGAAACATTGGCTAGCCTATTAGACCCGTTACAAAATTTGTTTAATTTAATTTTGTGTTTGAAACTGGCTTCGCCACATGGATTTACCTCAATTTGACTAAATGATCCACTAAAGAATCTCAATCACCACGGTTTTTAGCTCGACTTTGTTTTTTTGAAAAAAAAAGTAGAGGTATTTTTATAGTCGGGTCGGCGTTGCCGTTCCCGTCTCGTTCCCGTTCCCGTCTGCAAACTTGTACCTGGATCATAACTTTTTTATTTCTTGGTGTATTGTCTTCATACTTGGCCACAACAACCCTTGGGACAAGACCTTTCAGTAGACCACACTAACCTTGACCTTCATCCATAAATGACCTTGACCTTCAAGGTTAAAAGTCCAATTTTTGCTTGTTCATGCTGTTATTGGCTGTAACTTTGTTATTTTTGAATGGATTGTCTTCAAACTTGAACATAATAATCTTCAAGGATATCCCTTAAAAATAACCAGCCAGACCTTGACCTTCACTCATAAATGACCTTTACTTTGAAGGTCAAATTATTGAAATTTTCATTTTTTTGGCTATTATTGGATGTAACTTTTGTTATTTTTGAATGGATTGTCTTCAAACTTGAACATAATTATCTTCAGGGATATCCCTTAAAAATAACTAGACAGACCTTGACCTTCACTCATAAATGACCTTGACTTTGAAGGTCAAATTATTGAAATATTCATTTTTTTGGCTATTATTGGCTGTAACTTTGTTATTTTTGAATGGATTGTCTTGAAACTTGAACATAATAATCTTCAAGGATAACTCTTAAAAATATACCGAAAGACCTTGACCTTCACTCATTAATGACATTGTCTTTGAAGGTCAAATTATTGAAATTTTCATTGTTTTGGCTGTAACTGACTGTAACTTTGCTATTATTGAAGGGATCAACTTCATATTATAACAGAACATTGTTGTTTATCAAACCCAAATTTGCTTGGGCTCTTTAATGACCTTGACCTTGAAGGTTAAATTACTGAATTTTCTCAGATTTGTGCATTAAATGACCATAATTATATATTTATTGGTGTGTGTGTGTGTATATTTATATTTATACATATCTATCTATCTATCATCATCATCATCATCATCATCACAACAACAACAACAACATTGTATATTGCATGTTTCTATTTTTAGAATTGCGTGTTTCTATTTATAGATTTGCGTGTTTCTATTTATAGAATTGCATGTTACTATTTATAGAATTGCGTGTTTCTATTTTTAGGATTGCGTGTTTCTATTTTTAGAATTGCGTGATTCTATTTATAGAATTGCTTGTTTCTATTTATAGAATTGCGTGTTTCTATTTTTAGAATTGCGTGTTACTATTTTTAGAATTGCGTGTTACTATTTATAGAATTGCGTGTTACTATTTTTAGAATTGCGTGTTTCTATTTATAGAATTGCGTGTTTCTATTTTTAGAATTGTGTGTTACTATTTATAGAATTGCGTGTTTCTATTTTTAGAATTGCGTGTTACTATTTTTAGAATTGCGTGTTACTATTTATAGAATTGCGTGTTACTATTTATAGAATTGCGTGTTACTATTTTTAGAATTGCGTGTTTCTATTTATAGAATTGCGTGTTTCTATTATTAGAATTGCGTGTTCTATTTATAGAATTGCGTGTTACTATTTTTAGAATTGCGTGTTTCTATTAATAGAATTGCGTGTTGCTTTTTATAAAATTGCTTGTTACTATTTATAGAATTGCGTGTTTCTATTTATAGAATTGAGTGTTTCTATTTATAGAATTTAGTCTTTCTATTTATTGAATTGCGTGTTTCTATTGATAGAATTGCGTGTTTCTATTCATATATATATACAAAATAGATAAATAAAACTAATGTGACAAGACAGACCAACTTAATTTATAAAAAGGAAACGTTAAGATATGTTCAAACCTTTCTATGTTTGCGTTTAGAAAACGCCCGGCAGTGGCTCTTGTTACCAATGAATCTCAAGTTTGCAATTGAGTGTTGGACATCTTGAATGTATTGTGTTATAGTACTGCTGTCCTTTCATTAGAAAGATATAATAGATTTAACAACAAATATAGACATGTTCTCTTTTGTTACAAAGATGTTGTGGTTAAATTCTTATTGTATCCACTAAATATGATAGTTAGTATTAGACAGGTCAGGGATCTTTGCATTATGTAGTTTGTGTTGTTTAATTTACAATTCTAATCCTTAACTTGAGCCAGCATTTGTAAGTGCCAGCATATCCAGATACCAGAAAAATCCTGATACAGATAAACTACACTGGAAACCAGATGAACCGGTATGTTAATTTGCTAGATTTCAATCATATAATATGAACAACACTATGATCTGTTTTTCACTAAGAAAATGCCCTGAAATTTATATTTATTTGAATATATCAGAAAAAGTACATAAAGATCCTGTATGTTACAATTTAGGATGTAACCACACTTAAGTGAAGTATTATACATCCAAGGATATGTAAAATAATTATGTACTGCAAATGTTTAAAAGCATTATATGTAATCATTAAAATCAACGAATTCATTTCTTATTGAAAAATTTGGCTTAGCCATTATAGAAAATAAATTTCAAATTACCTCCCTGTATTTACATGAAATGTAAATGTTTGGTAATATCTTTACAAATGTTTTCTGGAGCTTACAATATTGTTAAATCTTCATTTGAGCATCATATTTATGATATGAAACCGTAAAAATTACAGGATCTTTAATTTGAGACTTACTAATTACATTCAGCCTATGTGATACAGGCATGAGGCCATAATTTCTCCTTTCTTCTTATATTTCAGGGATTTACTACTCATATTATTAGTACAATTGGAGAATGGATAACGGCTCTGCTTTTCTTGTTCTACTTCCTCACCTTTGTGAGGGACTTTATGAGGTTGAAGATTGAGGTCAGGCCCCAGATCTTTGTGAGACATTTAGACGAGGAGCCCACATACCCGGGAGAGTACACCAGATTGCTTGCGTGAGCCTGTTGATAAACTTGTGAAGTGATGATACATGTCTAAAGGACAGTGACTGAGTGATGTCAGAATGAACATTCCATAGGGAAAACATGCTTTTTACTTTAATTTGATCTGATGATTTCTGATAGAATGTGATGATTTTGGCACATAAATTACCAGATATGCTTTTATAATTATGGTATTTATCCAAAGCTTTTTATTTTTGATGTTTTGTTAAAGTCTCATTGGCCATATAAATTAGCCATTTTATGTTTTGCTTCTGTTGCTTGTTGGCAATAGTATGTTTATAGTGATATTGTATTTTGTATGGAAGTCAAAATATTACTTTGTTTTCATGACAAATATTTTCACATTCATCATTACTTTCTTCATGTAATAAGCATCTATCATGCTCTGAAACCATCATTTAAAGTTTATAAAACTCATGTTTACATTTTCAAAAGGAGTAAATCATTGGGAGAGGACACTCATAAGCTTTAAAGCTTTCTGTCCAATCCCAAAATGTACTTTGTAAATATTGTTCACTTGTTAAATATTTTGTTGAATAGATATGTTTAAACTAAAAGGATGGAAAGAAATATTCTGAGGAATAATGTATTTTTACAACATCTTATCAGCATAATGTCTGTAAGACTTATAGATGTGATAGCATTTTATTTATTTAATTTATAAACTGTAGGTTACAGTTTCAAAGGAACTTGTAAATAGTTTAAAATACCAAAGAGCTTTTCCATTGTATAAATATTTATTCTTCGTTCAACCCTGTGCCTATACCAAATGACATTTTGCGATCTGCGTGCGGTAGAAAACCCATACAAAAAGGTCCATATAGTATTTTCTCCCATAACTCCGTAATTTCATTAATTTTAAAGTGATTAAGTGTTGACCCGCTTATTCTAGTGAATAACCCATATTTAATTATAACCAATACTTATATTTTTACTGAAGAAAATCAGTGCTATTTTTATTAAGTGAACAAGCAGAAAGTCACCCAGTTACGATTTATGACAAAATAATTATTTCCAGGAAACATTGTATGTATTGGTTACTCACTAGAATGAATGGACACTTTATCCTATAAAGATAATGGAATTGGAAAAAAGTTTAGGATCAAAGTAAAAATTTAACAAACGCAGATCACCAATAGTTGGGTGGTATAGACATCATGGTCACGTGAATCACATGATAAAAGAAGAGCTAACATTGTTCATGCTTTCTGACCTGACGGTTGTAAACTTCACCAAAAGTTGTTCAAGTCATACTTAACATATAGAACAGGTTTAAAATAAAACATGATTTGTTTTTTACCAAATATGGAAGTAGAGATGAGAATTATATCTTTATATCTGTGTCATGTTTTTGAATTGTGAATATACAAACTGGGATAAACATGTATGTATAAAACTTTGAAGCTTTGTTCTAAACTAAGCATACACATTCTGCTTTTAATTCCATATAATTTTAGATAGGAAAATACTTTTGATGAAAAATATTTCCCTACCTACCCTACCCAAACGGGCATGGGTCAGAGGAGGGGATAATTTTTAGCCAGACACCCCGCTTTCATGGTGTCTGGAAGCGTATATTATGTTAAATTGAATGAAATATGCACAAATCAACAAGTGGCAGACACAAGAAGAATACTATTCAAATGTTGTTTCTATCTAGTGTGAAATATCTTTGTTTTAATCAAAATTGATTTACATGTGTACATTGACTGGGGTATGATACAGCTGCAATACAACCATAATAAAAGGTGCGTTGTATTTTGTAGCTTTAGTATTGACAGTTTTGTGAGATACTAGGTTTATATGTACATGTTTATATCTCATAATAAGCATTGCAATACATTGTGTGTATATTAGAATTAATATTTAAATTATATTAATTCTTTGTTCATTCCTACCTATATGATTCAAGTTTTTATTTGTATGCTTACTATAAGTGAAAATCTATGTTATATTAATACTATTTGTAATCTTAGTAACATAATGTACTTTTAATGAATCATATAATGTCAGAATATTTTAATGTCACTATATCTCAAGCTGATGTATTTACTATAAAAGCTACTTGACCACGTAGATAAAACGGAAAAAAACGGAATAGAACGGTCTAGAACAAGAAAGAATATATTTTAAATATTGTTTTCATTTTTTTTTTTGCAATGCTGACTGTTCAGTTTTGTATGCTTTGTGTCATTAATAATTGAGCATCATTTTTCTTCCATATTTTAAAGGTACTTCATTCTTTGAATCTTCACTCAGGAGATTTTTACCAAACAGCGGGAATATCAAAATTCAACATTTTTTCTTGTTTTCTTTCCTTAATATATTGCTTTCCTTTTCTATAAGACAGACATATTTAAAACATGTACATTCATAACATTATAAACCTTCACAAAAATACAAGAATCATGCCAAGGGGGCAAAAATATTTCTTCCTCCTATGGGTTCATTTAGTTCATATTAAAGTAGATTGCAAACATGTTTTAAAAATCATCTCCAAAACTACATACTGCCCAAGTAATAGATATTTGAAGTCTAGCATCACCTGATTCTTTACAAAATTATTTTGAGTCATTCCCCTTGTGTCAAAATTAGCCCGCCCGGGGGTCACTTATTTTGTATAAACTCATTTAAATCATATTGTGGAAAATTTGATATGGAGCATAACCTAGCGTTTATCATCAAAACGTGAATAATCCATGACATTGGGTTCAAAAAACGAAGCAACACTAGGGGTTACTTAATTGTAAACTTGTCTAAAAATTGTCTCCTTCTAAAATATAATAACCTTGTCCTCTACACAAGATATATAAATCATGCCCTGTCTCTGTGGGCGTTCGATTGTAAATGATTAATTCATAGACTTGCAAAGTAATAACTTGTGGTCAATTGTCGAAAAGGTAGTTACATAGAATGCCTCTGTTACTAGGTAAACAGAATAAAATGTTCAGGAACAAAATACGTACATGTAGTACGCTGTTGTTTCAAGCAGGGTATTTTTATGCTCCCCGAAAAAATTTCGGGGGAGCATATAGTCGCCGCCTTGTCCGTCCGTCTTTCCGTCCGTCCGTCCCCTTTTCTTGTCCGGGACATAACTTTGAAACAACAAGAGGTATCAACATGAAACTTTGTAGGTAGATAGATCTCATTGAGTAGGTGTGCATTGCACAAGAACCGTAACTCTGCCTTGCCTAACTTTTGAATTATTCCCCTTTGTTTATTTTACACTTTGATCTTTGTCCGGGACATAACTCTAAAAGTATAACAGGTATCAACATGAAACTTTGTAGGTAGATAGATCTCATTGAGTAGGTGTGCAGTGCACAAGAACCGTAACTCTGCCTTGCCTAATTTTTGAATTATCCCCCTTTGTTTATTTTACACTTTGAACTTTGTCCGGGACATAACTCTAAAAGTATAAGAGGTATCAACATGAAACTTTGTAGGTAGATAGATCTCATTGAGTAGGTGTGCAGTGCACAAGAACCGTAACTCTGCCTTGCCTAATTTTTGAATTACCCCCCCCCCCCTTTGTTTATTTTACATTTTGAACTTTGTCTGGGACAATAACTCTAAAAGTATAAGAGGTATCAACATGAAACTTTGTAGGTAGATAGATCTCATTGAGTAGGTGTGCAGTGCACAAGAACCGTAACTCTGCCTTGCCTAATTTGTGAATTATCCCCCTTTGTTTATTTTACACTTTGAACTTTGTCCGGGACATTACTCTAAAAGTATAAGAGGTATCACATGAAACTTTGTAGGTAGATAGATCTCATTGAGTAGGTGTGCAGTGCACAAGAACCGTAACTCTGCCTTGCCTAATTTTTGAATTATCCCCCTTTGTTTATTTTACACTTTGAACTTTGTCCTGGACATAACTCTAAAAGTATAACAGGTATCAACATGAACCTTTGTAGGTAGATAGATCTCATTGAGTAGGTGTGCAGTGCACAAGAACCGTAACTCTGCCTTGCCTGATTTTTGAATTATTCCCCTTTGTTTATTTTACACTTTGAACTTTGTCCTGGACATAACTCTAAAAGTATAAGAGGTATCAACATGAAACTTTGTAGGTAGATAGATCTCATTGAGTTAGTTTGCAGTGCACAAGAACCGTAACTCTGCCTTGTCTAATTTTTGAATTATCCCCCTTTGTTTATTTTACACTTTGAACTTTGTCCGGGACATAACTCTAAAAGTATAACAGGTATCAACATGAAACTTTGTAGGTAGATAGATCTCATTGAGTAGGTGTGCAGTGAACAAGAACCTTAACTCTGCCTTGCCTCATTTTTGAATTATCCCCCTTTGTTTATTTTTACACTTTGAACTTTGTCTGGGACATAACTCTTAATGTATAAGAGATATCAACATGAAACTTTGTAGGTAGATAGATCTCATTGAGTAAGTTTGCAGTGCACAAGAACTGTAACACTGTCTTGCTTACTTTTGGAGTTATTGCCCTTTGTTCATTTTGACACTTTGAACTTTGTCTGGGACATCACTCTAAAATTATAAGAGATATCAATATGAATCTTTGTAGATAGATAGGTCTCATTGGTTGGAAGTGCAGTGCTTAAGAATCATTACTCTGCCTTGCCTTATTTTGAAGTAATTGCCCTTTGTTTATTTTTACTTTTTGACTTTTGTCCTGGACATTACTTTAAAACTATTAGAGATATCAACATGAAACTTTGTAGGTAGCTAGATATAATTGGATAGAACTGCAATGCTTAAAGAACCTAAACAAAGCCTGGTCTAATTTTGGAGTTATTGCCCTTTGTTCATTTTTACACTTTGACTTTTACCCGGGACATAACTCTGATATCATCAGGAAACTTTATAGATAGATAGATCTCATTGAATAGAAGTGCAGTGCAAAAAAACATAACTCCGCTTTACCTAATTTTGGAGTTTTTGCCCTTTGTTCATTTTTTTTATACTTTCCTGTGTCCAGAACCTTCTCGGGGAGCATCACCCGGTTCAACCTCTTCTTGTTTAAGCAGGGTAGCATTGATCTGGGGTATCCGCCATCATGGCCCTCTTGTTAATTGAGTTTTCATCTAATTTGTCAGAATGTTTCTTCTAATTTCTTAAATGTGTATGGGGCCATTAGGGAAAGGAATTAAAATTTTACATGAAAAAACTGAAACAAAGTGATCACTCGGAAGCATTAATCACAACAAAATTACATGAAAATTGCAGACTCGTTTTGATTATGTACTAGTATATGAGGGATAATGAATAAGTGCAACATCCCTCACGCCCCATAGCACCGGCTTGAACGTTGCTCAATTCTCAACACATAATAGTGCTGGTATCAATGATAAGACACCGTGTGGGCCCTTTTCAAAAGTTAAAAGGATCATGTCCGTGGGGTAAAAAATGGCCCTTTCTAATTGTCACTTGATCCACACAGATGCATTTCAGTCTTCACTGAAACTGTATATCCAAGAGCTTAAATATTTTGAATGTACTGTAGCCTATTGAATATTTGCAAATATTGAAATCGTGCCCCTTGGATGAAAAGTGGCACCACCCCTGGGTCACTTTTGTTACGTTGACTTGTTTATAGAAAAAAAAACGACTTTACTAATCTCCTCGAAAACGACTGTGAGCAGACATTTAAGCATGTAGCCTCAACCTATTGTTCTCCACAAATAGTTATGTTATAGATGACCTCATTTTCAAAATTGGCCCACCTTGTTGAACACTTGTTTTACATTTTAGTATATAATTTATAATACAGTATAAGTATACAGATTGTTGTATTGCATCTATCTTATTTTTCTCATGCATTAGATTGTTAACTAATGATTTTCATTCTTCAGTCATTTTATATGTTCTCGCTTTTATTATACATGTAATAAAGCAATATTCTATATAACTTAGTTTTGTTTTGCGACGGACGTGCCCTCAGGCGTGAGTGCAGAGCTGTGCAATGCGTACAGATGGACTTTATTTCAAAATCGACGCCCAAGCAATGAACTGACTTTATCCTATAAAGCACAGGCACACATTTTGTCGAAATTATGCTAGACGCATTCTTGTTTCAGATTGATTATCATAAATAATTACTTGTATGGACAGCAAAAAATACTTACGAGGTTTATATTAGAGTTTAATCATCATAGTAATATTGTACATTTGCTAAATATTGTTCTCTCAGAGGTACAGCCAAAAAAGTAGCCAACAAAATCTACATTATATTTGGAGTAATTTAGATCAATATTTCAAATGTAAGAAATATCAATATTAAAGCAATGAATTGAACTAAGTTTTTATGCACCCCTGTTAAACAGTTATTGAACTGTCTGTCCGTTCGAGGTTTACCAACCACAGGTTCTTTTTTACTAAAGTAAAGATGTACTAGGCATTGTACGTTATCAAATGTCTTAACTCACTTACCTATTTTTATATAAAACCAACGGTGTTGAAAGCAACACATATTTTATTTAAGAAATAAGATATCCTAAACTGTGATTTTATCGCTCAATTACATCACTGTTTGGAGCGAGGAATTATATATATCTACGCCCTCGTGATATCATGATGCGCATCCGAACGACAAACAGTGATGTTATCCAGCGATAAAATCACCGATTTCATGGATATATTATTTCGATTCTAACACGACATAAACAAATAAATGCTGCCGTACCTGCTATTATTAAGCAAAATTGCGCCTGATTTGTTTCCGTATTTATTGTCAGCGCGTCGGATTACGTCACATGTATAATGATTACATCACATGTCTTAATATAGAACGTCAAACAGTGACTCTTTTGCATAATAACACACACTTTCGTTTCGTCTATGTTCAATAGGGAAATATGCGGGTCGTGTTAGAAAGATGAATAGTATTCTCGTATGAAATAATTCATTTCATAGCAGAAGTGTAAGTTCACTTCTGTCGAATTTCTTCGGTAAGCCTCTTGAACATATTGATTTAACTTAATACGTGTCACAATGACAATTTATACATAATATACATGCAGTACAATATAAATTGTCCGGAAATACAGGGGAAATGGGCGCAAATGGCCCGTAAATTTGCTGACTTTGTGAGTCTGTCCTGTCAAGCGTTGATCAATAAATAATTATAATAAATATAAACAATTATGGACATTTCATAGTATATTTATTACAGTACACGCCAGGTAAATAAAAATAAAAAAGTTATAAAGAGTATCATACAAAAATATTATTTACACAACAATGGCATTTATACAAGTAATATTTCCGAATGTTTTTAAGATGCCAATAACATCGTTGTGTAAATATCTATGAATATACAATAAAAAGCTTCTTTTGGATCATTTTATTTTTTGTGAGTTCGATTTCAAAGATGTTAGTGAATTACAAAAGCATTTTATTTCGCCATTTGAAAAAAATATTGATCTATGAGAATTTTACATTTTAAAAAAGTTTTAAGCATTTTTTCTATAATATGCTGAGCAAAATAACTGAAAATGGATATTTTTCTCAAATATTTTAAATAAACGAATTATGTTTGTCTGTCTTATAAACTAGAAATCTTACAAACAAGTTTTAGATAATATTCGTCTTCAGCGTTCGATAAGTTATTAAAACGCACTCGTGTGTAGCAAGCACATCCTCTTATAAATGGGGTAAATGATTCAACGTGATTTTTGACTCTAGTGCTAAACCACCAATTACAGACACAATTAACTTATTACGTATAATGGTATCATATACACTTAATGAAATTTGTTTTCATTGATAAGAAATTCTTGGCATTTCATATTGGTGGTGGTGGAGGGATATCAACTTTTGTTTGAGGACCTGTGACAACTCCGAATGATGGTTCGTGTGTCTTTTCAATCACAGTTTCAATGCGGTTATATTTGGTGTTGATTGTCGATTCGACGTTTGGCTGATTACTGAAACTGTTTGCATTGTTCAGAGAAGTCTCTGCTACCTTCTCAGATTGATTGATTTGATATATGCCAACAAGTTGTACATCTTTCGTTTTAGTCTCTACTGCTACAGTTTTGTTATCATTTGTTAGATTTGTCACATCCGAATACGTTTGTTCTTTTATTGCTGTCAGATTATTTCCGTTGACAGGAGTTTTAATGGCGTTCGTTTCACCTGACACAGCTTGAGAAAACATGTCTTTAAAACCAACTTGATTCGTATTTGTAAACTCAACTTTGCTATCAATTGGGAGTTCAATGATTGGTCCAAAATCAGAAAAATTAACGCCAGGAGGTAGAGATGTAGGATCAAATATTGCCCAGTTTTCGTTATTTTGAAACGGAGCCATATCATACTGTATTGTTGGCAGGTCCTGGCCACTTGTAGTCAGAGTAGAAGTATTAAGTACTGTTGTATTAGTATGCGAATTCAAATCAAAATGAACTTGGTTAGTTGACATAGTTGTAGGGGGAAAAGGTGTGGTCACAAGTAATGGTGTAACAGTCGTTGGTGGAGTTATTTCATTTGTTTGTGCATTACCAAATGGCGGTGTAAATGTGAATGGCGTTGGTGTTAGAAATTGATCAAAAGCATTTGTTAAATCCAAAGAAGCCGTTGTTTCTGGAAAGTTAACACTGTTTATAACGGTATTCGGATTTGAATTAATTGGCGGTGGATGAATGTCAGGTTTAATTTCGTGCATGACGGGATCAAATAAAAATGACGTTGGACTTTGTATTTTACCTTCTGTTTCTTGATGATGCACTGGCATTGTTGTTATTGGATCTGTAAATGTATTAAGTCCACTTCCTGAAGCAAAGAAAGGAGACTGGGTGACTGGTAAAACGTTTTGATTACTTCTGCGTGGTACCATGTTATTTCTGTAAATTGGTGTGGATGGCGTTGTTGATATATCAAAAATACTACCACTGGCAAATGAGTCAAATATAAACGCAGACGGTGTAACAGTCTCTTGCTTTAGAGTTGTGCGCGTTGCAGATAGAGGTACATGATGTAAACCTATGTCTTTTATATTTGTACTGGCATCAGAATGAATTGGTGGAGGAGGTAAGTCAACTTTTCCTATTGAAGGCCCGCTCGTCGGACGTGCTGGAATTTCTAGATCTAGGTTTGAAGGTAGTTTAGGCTCCATATCCCAGGCCGAGGCCGGACCGGTAAAGGGCATTCTGTTTGTTCTTAAAGTTGGTAATTTAGTGAAACCTGTTGACAAAGAATTATCTGCAGGAACTGAAATGTGTTGCTGGCGTTTAGATATTTGATCAGAGACCATTGCTAGTAATGATGATTGGTCATGGAATTTAGTTCTTGCTGATGATGAAGATATTTGGCTGCCTTCCCTTAAAGGTAACTCTAAAAAAGAGCCATCTGTTTGAACGGATGCAAAGCCTGCGGTTTGGTCAATTGTATTAGGTTGGAAAGACATATCAATGTTTATTGCTCCAGCTGGTGGTAGTGAACCGGTCCTAGGATTATTTATGTTTGTAGTATTCCTCAGATTAACAAACTGCCCAGGTGCAGAGAAAAGACCTGAATCTCTTGAAGCAGAATTTATACTTGTTCTTGGATTTGTTGAAAACAACGGCCGTTCTCTATGCATTCGTTTTGCCTGTGCTGATCTTGCAGATGCTTCCTTTATCATGTTTACATCAAAAAGTTTGTTTTCAACAGCTATAGTCTTTAATACCGGTTCGCTGGATTGACCTTGGACGATCGAAACTCCTGGTAACGAGGCACGTTGTGTATCTGTAATACATTATGACACATGTTCATGGCAAAAACAGTAAAAGTTAAAGAGTTAACTTGATAGCAAATATTCATCTCTTTTAAATTTAATGATACTTTATTGCCTAACAAATTTCATCAAATTGCAAAATGCGTTGAAAATTTATGAAATTGTTAAATTCAAGCCAAATCCAACAGTAGCAGAATGTTTTGAAATTGTGTGGTTTTCTCAAGCTTGTATTGAAAAAGTAATAAACTGCAACATTACCTTGAACGTGTAAATATAGATAATCTTTTATATATTTCGGAACATTTATAAACAATCACAAAGCTATGTTTTGTTTAGTAAAAAAAGATTAGTAATATTACACGCGTATGAAGCTATTCTAATACAATTTATCATGCAAGGCAATTAATGGTTCTAACATGCCAAACCCAAAGAAGCATTTTTAGATTTATGAATGATGCAATTCGTGATTAACTTAAAAGTTGAAATTATAAATCGAAAGCTACATTAATGGTATTAATATTAATTGCTAATATTCTCGGTCGAAACTAAGATAAAACAAATGTATTTCTTAAAAGCCGTCAATAACATGCATGAAGTACTTCGACTAAAATTTCAACACTTGCAAAAACAGACTTCTTGTATATAATTAACCCAAAAAGAAATATTATTTACACATAAACACACTGATATATCACTCATGGGTTTACATTATAAAGATTTGTCAAGTAGCATTTTTATCTAAAATTCTGTTTCTAACATGTGGTGTTAAAAATGTTTTGTAAGACTTGAGCATGAAGCACATCAAAGACATTTTTCTAATAACTATACGAAACAAACTCTCTAACCGATGCCGGTTCCATACCCATTTCTTTATCATACTCACGTGGGTTCCTTAATTCAAAAGTCACTTCTTCTCAAAGAAATTGTTTGCTGCTGACATATCAACTGCACCCATCAATTCCTCCGTATAAATTTTAGTTGTATAAGGAGTTTCGTTGTTTAGAATATGTACTAGTTCAACAGACAAACCAACGTTCTCAAATTGACTTTTTGGGGATTTCTGAAGCGTCGTTATTTGTTCAGTTTTACCGTTATCTCTTTTAGTATTTCCAAGGTCATGATCAAACAAATTGTTCTTTGTTTGAATTACGGTGTTATCTGTGTTAAATATAGGTGGAGGATGGTTTGGCACCTCTTTATTAATAAGTGTATTTTTATCCTTAACACCCTTTGAACTTGACTTTACGAGCACAAAGTTGTTTTGTGTTTTAGTATCCCAATAACTTTCAGAGAAGTTTTGAGGAACTACCGAGCTAGCAATATAAGTAGTAGGCCCCTCAGTTATATTTTTAACAAAATTTTGCTTAACAAAGGGAACTGTGAAATTTTCAAAGTAATAATCATAATAATCACTGCTGTTATATGTAGAATTTTCATAAATATAGTCATAGTGAGAAAATGTCTTATCCGCATATTTGTTTTGATCACCAGATCCTAAACTCAAATCATTTCTTGATTTTAGAGATTTTGATATATTAGTTGTGCCTAAATCATTGGAATTCAAATTTACTACAATTTGCTCTTTGTTAAAATGTTCAACTCTTGACGTTGGACTTGTCTGGGCAATTTTATTGAATTCAATATCAGCTGCGAAATGAATCTCTGGCATCGATGCATCAGTATTCCTCGATGTCAAATCTGAACTCTTGGGCAGCATTGAAGGATCAATAGTGTCTAATGTAGATACAAATGTTATGTCCCCAACGTTTGGGTACTCGTTTTTTACATCAGTTATCAATGGAGCAAAGTTAGGAGGGTATGATTCGTCTCCTGGTCTTGTTGGGTAATCCAAGAAAGAACCTGATAAATCACCAGTACCTTGAAAGGAAATGAATTAGTCTCAGTTAGCAGCAATACATCTAGCTTTCATATAACTTGTGGCGTTGCAGATGCGAGCGTCTTGTCTTCGCTTGTGATCATTGCTGTCATAAGTTGTCCGCCTATGTAAGTGCTATCTTTGTCTGCGAGGCGCAGTTGACATGCACAACTTTGTAGAACAAGTCGAAGGAAAGCATGCGCATAAACCTCTTGCTGTAAAATGTTTTCAAATAATCACTTTTGCGGTTGTCAGCGCTGTTGAAAAATGCGAAGGGAAATGAAATGCACGGCATTTACTTTTTTGTACATCGATAGATAAAACGCATGGAGCTTCAGTATAGAGACAAAACAATTATTTTATTTTTATTTTATATTGCTCAATATATATTTTTACATATAAGCTCTGTTCATTACGTTACAGCACGATCTTTTGATATTAATTCTATTTTAACAAATGAAACTGCACAGTCTAGTAATTCGCTTGCTGGATTAAAACAACAGACATTGTTGAATGGATATAAAGTTGTCTTTGTTTCGTTGGTTTAAACGGCGATTTTAACACAAAGCTCCATTGTCATGTTTAACAAGAGGATAATTACTACTCTCGCCTGACTATAAAGGTTCGAAATGACAGGAACAGAAAATACTAATAACTATAAATAAAAAGCTTCGGTTATGTCAAAATCTAGGTCATCTGTTATCAAAGTTCATATCTAAACATCTGAATTTGGGTATATTTAAAAACGTCAATGTTGAAAGGAAATGGTTGCTATGAAAGTCACTTGGTTTTAAGGAAAGTCAATTGTTGCTTTAGGAAGTAAATATTGCTAAGGAAAGTCAATAATTTCTACGGAAAGTTAATGATTATAAAACAAAGTCAGTGATTGTTATGGAAGTCTCTGATAGCTTTAGACAGTCATCTGTCAAAGCTTTAAGCAGTACACGATTTTCTGCATTCTTAAATTCTGGTTTCAGCTTCTGTTCTCCAGATAAGCAATGAACCATTAAACAAATTGGAAAAGCTTCATGACAGGAACATTTCTAACAAATTTTATTAAATATATTTTTATGGTTTTTAAGGAGATGTCATTTGAATAAATTGTGGATGACGGAAGACGGACAGCCAATGATCCATAAAGTCCACGCTATCAATGCGTGACAAGTGAGCTAAAAGACTTGTTTGCAAGAAATAAATATTTTGCTTCTTTATGTTATATACGAGAGAAACATACTAACAAAATATATCCGAATATCTGTTGATTGATTATTATTTTGATATCAATCAAGCAAGAATTGATGTAATGAATAAATACTACCGAATTGATGTATTTATACATAACACATGAAAGGAACGCGTAACCTATGAGCAGATAAATGAACGCTGGTACATTCGAAAGTGTTTTATATAAATGGATAAACTGCAAAAAAAAAGTCAGCACATTATGCCTCCCAAACGAATGAATTGATCCTTCTACAGAAAATGATTTTTTAGAAAGGGCAAACATGAGTTGAAAAACGTTTAAAATGGTTTAAGAACATATTATATGCTTATCATCTAAAGAGAGTAGAGCTGAATGTGAAAATATCCGACATAAAAATATCAAAATGTAAGCAACGTAGTAATTTGACTTCCATACAAAATACTTAAGCACTCTAACTGTGCTATTTACCAAATAAGCAAGGGAAACAAAAGATGGATCAGGTGATTGGTCAATATATAACTAAAAAAACTATTACATGACATCAATAATAAATATGCTTCTGCGAAATAAAAAAAATAATTTCTTTGGCATAATGGACCTTTCCAATCAATATAATATTTACAACGAAATGTAATGACCATTAATGCTTTTCCTTATATGTTTAGTTATACATCAAGCAGATACGCGATTGATAATAAAATCAAGGCTTGCTTTAAGTATTTTTTGAACTTATTATCTATGCCATATGTATGAATTAGAAAAATCTAAACGACTGTGAAATCTTAGGTTACGCGTTCTTAAATGTGTTAACAAATCAAGTTTATAGCTTAATTTGATTATTGTTTTTAACAAAGTTGAAATTATGGCACATGGTTTCTTTTAAACAATATCATTGTTCTAAACCGGTTCTCCTTCAGCTTCAGCCTCCGCCTCAGCTTCTGCCTCAGCCTCTGCCTCCGCTTCAGCAAGTAATTCAGCTTCTGCTTCAGCCATTTCAGCCATTTCCGCTGCTATGTCCGGGTCCATTGTCGTTACAATATTTGTTGTCATTTCATACGCCGTCGCGTTTGCAGTCGTATTTGCATAATAATCCATAGCAGATGCATTAGCATAATCGTAATAAGCAGTTTCATTTGCCGCCAGATACGCCGTTGAAGTTGCATTCAAAGGTTCATTTACGGCAGTTGAATTAGCATAACTAGGTATTACTGTTGCATTGTTATCGTAAACAAATGCATGCGCAGGGCTTGCTACTGCAGTATAAGCTGGGGCAACATTATTTGCCGCAGTGACATATTCGTGAACTGGAGCTACAGTCGGGTATAAGTTCATTATTCCATTTGGAGAAAGCTGGCTTGCTGAACCCAATGTGGATTGACCATTTAATGTCTGCGGATAAGTTTCTGCAATTTGTGGTGTGTTTATGTTGCTAGAACTCGCAATAGGTAGATTTTGTATCGTTTCAGCCAGGCCTGTTGCATTTATGTAATTAACAGATGGCTTATGTGTCAAATCGTGTGGTGCATGTGTATGCACATGATTTAATTTCAATCTTTGAATTAGCTTGGCAATAACATCGTCTCTTAATAAATAATTCAAAACAGACAAAGTCGTTGTTGGTGCTGGTGTTGTTGTGGTTGTCGTGACAGTAGTAGTTTCAACATGGGGATGGTGATGTAAGAGATTATGAAACTTGAAGAAATCCATTTCAGTTGCATTCACGCCAACCAGTTTTGACAGCAGTCTAGCCAAAATGTTTGCTTTTGGAGGAGCTATATTAACGTTAGCATTAGGTAAAACCTCCTTTTGTTTGTAATTGTTTAACGGTGGTTTTGGTTCAACTAAACTGACAATGTCAATTTTATTTGAATCAGCAGATGGCAAGCTAGATTGTAAGTAATATTCTTGATAAGCTTTACCTGGGTTACTTGTAATGTTGATTGTTTTTGACGCCGTGGCTGTTGTTTCTGCAACTCGACTTGTAACTGTCTCAATATTTGCTGTTTCTTTAGGAATGTATTGGGTAGCTGGCTGGACACTTGTCGGAGGCTCAGTCGCAGTATAGTTGTTCACATTTATTATTTGTTGAGTGTTGCTATATTGTCCAGACTGGTTTGGAATTTCAGGTGAAATTATATTTTGAAGTGAATTTACATCAACGTATTCGGCAGCACCTTGTGTAGCAACCTTTTCTGTCACCGTTGACCAGTCTCCAACCAGTTTAGATGTGATTTTATTAGGAGCAGCTGGTACTGTTGTTAAATATCCCGGTGTTGCTGTTGCTGGATAAGTTGGTTGAGAAGTAGTTTCTGGCATTGTTATCGGATACTGGTGCGTAATGGATGTGTTGTCCTTTTTTATTTGCACAGTCTGTGCTGTCTGGTTGTTTTCATTTTGACTAACTTTCTTATTCACATTTTGTGTTGTTTGACTATTGACATTATTAACTTCCGACTTTGTTACATATTGAAATGTTTCACTGATACCGGTATTGGCTCCTAAGCTATCAATAGGCTTAGCTGTTTCACTATTGATATAAGCTCCTGAAGTAGGCAGGTACTTTTCTGTTTGAGTATAAGCATTCTGTGCCTGAGAGTTATTTCCGTTATTGTTTGTTTCATTGGTATAAGGAACTGTGATGTTCACAAGCAGCGTTTTCTGAACACTTTCATACTGAATTTCTGACTTATTCATAAGCGGAGACATGTTTGTGTTTTCGTACATAACTGTTTGTTTAGTCTGAGAACTAGGTGTCTGAGTATTTTGATACTGGCTCGGTGTAACGGTTTCCTGATAGGAAGTTTTCTGATTTCCTATCGTATAAGCAGGTGCAGGAGTAACAGGGTTGGAAGTCGTCCCTTTGTCAGCGGGAACCATAGGGTATCCTTCAAAATACATATTAAAATATGATAGTATTAACCAATCTGATTTAAACATTTTTCCAATACTTTGTATAAATATATATGAGAAAAATTTAATATAAGCTTTCCCATAAATGCAAGCTTTATATCAAACATTGATGTTTTTACTTTTGAAAATGTTTACAGAATAAATGCTTTGCATCAATGAAACTATAGAATGAATATTATTTATTTGCCATAGATAAAACAAAATAAAATTACAAATTATTAACTATGTCATTATGATAATATTACATGAGTTAATTAAATCTAAGCGAAAATGATACAATAAACTAACACAGTAGAAATTATTCCCTCTTTTCGTTTTAAGAAAACAAAAAGCATGTGAATAATATCGTAAGCATACCAGCAAAATACCAACAAACGGAAACGACACGATATGGTCCGATCCTATATATGGGCTATGATTGTACAAAAAAGACCTTACAACATAAAGCCATAATAAAATAAAACAAGAAACACACGTGTCTACAGTAGTACTTTTGTCAAATGTTATTATTTTTTAATGGGCAGTGTGTTTATTTGAGTTGTTGAAGTCTGCTACCTTAATCACTCGGCCAACACGGAGGCCCAAGAAATCAATGTTTAGATATGTTTGTTCATCACAGAACATTTTAACGCCTGGCTTTGACAAAGTATTAATGTCTAGCGTTTAATTTTGCGACTAATTTCTGTGTGATAAAAACCTAAGCATATTTGACAACATTATATTTACTTTATTGATTATTTTTTTATTAGATTTGTTATGGCATATGTGTGTTTTCGATATTCATATTTTTATTTCAAATTCAACTTAATCCTGTCTAACTAATTATGTTGGCTGGTTTTGTGTCCGTTTCATTGTCTGGTCTTTAGGTACTTAAAAGTAACATGAATGAATTCAGAAGTAAAGTGTCTTATACCTTGAGAAAGCATCACTGCCTTTGTGAGTTCACTAATATCTGGCATAGTTCCGTAAGTGTTGTTGCCGAATGTCTTTGTTAGCACACCTTTAATTACATCTTCAACGACTAATCGTATTGCCGCCGGGTTATGTCCTAAATACATATTGATATAATAGACATTCACAATTAAATTAAGCTGTTAGAATGTAAAATTCTGTATAACGTTTGTATCATACGTTTAAAAGAATGAAACCTTATAATCATTTCCTCGGATTTAAAAAGTGTGCATACAATACTACCAATCATAAACGTACTTTTTTCAGTGGGGAAACATCTTAAATGTGCATTAATTTCCTAATCCATACACATGCACAAAGCATGTTTTTGCAGGCAATACTGTATCCCACTCTTCGTTTACACCAAATAAAGAACAGGCTTTGAGGCATTTGTCGTTCACATAAATAGATAATGACAAAACATTGACCGGAACAATAAACCAACTAATTTTTGTAATACTCAATGCCCAATATAGACACTTAATCCAAGGTTCATTTTCGTTATTTACATCTCGTTGCAAATAAAATAAATGTAAAATTTGGTAATTTGGGATCGTTTATTTTAGGGGCAATGAATATTATGCATTGATATTGACAACACCATGGACCGTAAATAATGAGTTACTGATCCGAAATAAAGTTAAATCTCACGTGCACATTCAAATTTGTAAACGGTTCGAAGATATTTTCCGTTGACCTAGGAAGTAACACATAATGAAATATTTCGATACTTTCTTTCTTAGTTGAGGCACAACAATTATAATTGTTGCGAGAATAACTACTTTTATACACTGACAATGGTGTATTGTTGAAAATCTTACCATCTTCAGGACAAGCACAGGAACATTCAGCCCTATTGGATGATTTTATTCGTGAAAATAACCATTCAGTAAACTGAGAACTCTGAGATTGTAAACACCTTTCGAGAATTTCTATTTGTTAGAAAGAAGATAAATTTTAATTTGAAATGCGCCGCCGCGATGTTTGTTCCATGGGTGCTTTGAAACATCAAGCCATACGTTTATTGTTTGATGGTAGCCGATGTAATGCGCAATCTACATTGTATAAAAATTTGATGAGCCCGGTATGTCAGGGTCCCAATGATGCAAAACAGTATTATTTCTTATGTCAATAACTGTACAATTGTGTTTATGTTATGTTAAAGTATTGTATTGTTTTATCCCAACAAACCCTTAGAGACTTTTAGTGATTGCTTGGCAGATTCATTACGCCACGTAACTGCAACATGAAGATGAAAACTATCCCAGGTACCAATGATATATCTGAGTAAAATGCATGATGTATGTTCAAATCAAGAAAAAAACAGACTGTACGAAAGATTCATCAAAACCTGAAGACTAGAGAATAATTGAAAAACAAACACAATATCTTAAATACAAAATACAGTATAGAACGATCATGAACGGTCATGATTTGGTATGTTTATTTTCAGTTGGCTCTCTTGATTTTAATTTGCACATTATTTTACAATCAAGATTTACGTTTTTGAAATCCTCATTGCGAGGAATATATTTCAAACATTGAAATAAGGTTATAAATAAATCACTTTTTCCTGATATTGAAGCAGTATCATACATTTACCAGAGGTGAAAGGATATGATCATATTAGTATGAGCATTTTAATTTTATATCGTTTAGCAGCAACTTGTACACCAGAAAGCAATGCAATGCAAACTAAGCAGCTATATAATGTATACAAGATTGTTAATATACTTCATATTAAGTTATTTAACAAATATTATAAAATTGACTATAATAATATTATATTTATATGACAACACAATTCAATAAATATCAACTTATGCAAATTTAAAAAACACTATAATAAACCAACAGTTTTAAAAACAGATTTATACGAAAGACGGATGTCAAAGTAAATATATAATTCATGTACTTACGAATTGTTGAAGGTACATTAGGTGTCAGTCTTCCAGGTGTTGAATGACTTACACTATCTGGTGACATTCCCATTGCTGTTCTACTGTCAACGCCGAATGGAGCGACATCATTTGAACGTACACCGTTAGTAACACTAAATCGTTGAACATCATTTCCTACGAATCCTCCGGTGTTTGAACTGGCCATTGTTCCATCATTTAATGATGCAAAATTTGTTGTCTGAATAGGGTCATTAGTTAATCCTCCAGAGGTTGAAGGAAACTGAGCTGTATCCAACCTTCCTTCACTGCTTGTTCCCACAAAACTCGTTCCGAATGAGTCAAAATTGTTGCTGGCTAATGGAATTTGGCTGTTTGGAGTCCCGAAAGCAGTATTTGTATTTGTTTCAGTCATAGATGCCTTTGACAGTCCTGTAGGGGAACCAAGTCCCCAGTCGACATTAGCAGACTGACCAGCTTCTGTCAATGAGTTTGTCAATGTGTTTGCAATGTTATTATTATGCATACTATTATGCTGCATTTGGAAGTTTGTAGGTTCATTATTAAATCCAATATTTGAAACTATTGGTCCGTTTATACCGGGTCCGAGTTCAGCATTTGTAATGATGCCAGTGCTTGTGGATGCGGAAGCCATTTCATTGAAAGCATTGAGATTAGAACTTGCTGGAAATGAAGATAATGACGAAGATGGTGAGTTAAAATTTGATTCTAACGAGCCAGATAAAACGTCGTTGTTCACGTTCACAACTGTCTGGATACTATTGGTTTCCCCTGTACCAGTGGATATCCCATTCATATTTCCATCTAATGTTGAAGTTGCATCACGAAAACCAAGGTTGGTATCAAAAATATCTGAAAGTAACGGGATAAAATTGTCATCATTACTAATTATCTAACTTTTTATGATTATATTTGTTTGTCTTGTTTTATATTCCGATTTAACATCGTTTTAGTCGTATCTCTGTGATTGAGATTTGTTTCCATTTTTCCTGGATAACAAACCAGTAATTCCTCCGCAAGTGAACGACTACTAATCCCAGATGACCTCTAAATCAGCGGTGAAAGACAAAAACTGACAATTAAACTAAATATCCGGGAGGAATTTTGCATCGCCCGAGGATCAAACCAGCGATCTCAGAATTAAATTATGAGACACACTCTTAAAAACTTAGCAAAACTATATATGTTATATGACAATAAAATTGTATTAATTTTAACTAGAGCAGTCGAATATCATATTATCTCAATAAGACAGGATATTATGCGGGTCCATTATCATTACATTTGATATTAGTTTGAAAAAAATAGTTTAAGGGGTATAGAAAGTTAAGAGTGGACGCGAACTTGTTTATTGACGTTCAAGAATGACCTTGTACATGAACATTGCTTTGTTGATGTTAACATTTAAAACAAATTTAAAGATAATCCTTCTAGGGATACAGGATTAACAGATCGGACGCGAAATTTTATGAAAGTTAACCTTCAACAATGACCTTGAGTTTTACACATCGCCTTGCTGAAGTAAATATTTGAGCCCAGTTTAGAGAAAATCATTCGAGGAGTATAGGATTTATAGAGCGGACATGAAATTATCTGTTATTTGACCTCCAAGTATTTCCTCGATCTCTAGTCAGAAATTCGGCAACATGGGTTCCGCATATTCCCCTGTAAAGGTGAATAATGATCAAAGTCTGAAGAAAGAGTTTCAGAGGTGATAAGATTTATACAACGGACACAAAATTGTATTGCATTTGACCTTCAAAAGTGACATTGACCTTGAACAGGCACTGACGCAGCATTGGGTCTGAATATCTTCTAGTTGGGGTGAAGAATGGGCTAAGTTTATAGAAAAGGAGTATAGAATTTATAGTACGGACACGATTGAGACGGACGAACCGACAAACCAGCGGACGGGACAAAGTAATTCCATTATAGCCCCTCCACAAACTGTTGTGGGTATAAAACAATTATACTTACTCGCTCTACCCATATTCTGATTGTTTCCAATTTGAGATGGTGGTGCAATATCAAAAGCCCCTGCTGCAGTAAACTCTGATGGTGCACCCAATACATCTAAAATAATGACGGTATTATCATTATAAATATATTTCTTAAGATGGAGTCATTCACAATCCTCCTTTTGTAAATTGAAAAGAGTGTCGGGTTGATTAGTAATTTTAAAAATATACACAAGGTACCCTTGAACACAGAAATTATCAAATATCAAATATTTTGAATTTTGTGAACACATGTCTTAAAAGAGAAATGTTAAATTACCCGATCTTGAAAATGGAACTACGCTATCAACTTGTATGCTGGATGAACCAATATTTCCCGCCATGCTTCCAGATAACGATTGGGCCTGATTCAAAACCTGTACAAAAATTATGGTATATCTAAATATGACAATTTTTACTAGTTTTATCAGTCCAAATTATTATCATGTGTTACACATTGTTTGATGATACAGGTTAATGTAACAATAATTGTTATAACCTAGGTTATTTACTATTTTTTATATGTTGTCACAAAATTACGTTTTCGCCTGTATCTTTTAAGTGTTCTAGAGATGTTGTTAATAGCATTCTTCTACCTAGCTAGCTATTTTTTGTTTCAATGAATCTTTCTAGATTTCTAGAGTATATATATTAGTCTTTAATACAACGTTTCTTGATGCGCATAAGCGATATTGATGTATCATATAACTTTATGTCTATTAAATTAGTGTTATTTTTTAAATTTTGGTACACCATCAACTTGTTCAGAAGGATTTGTATGAACTTTTACATATCAATTCTAAGTCTCCAACCATCATAACTCCTATATTGAAAAAAAAAGTTGTAGGGAAATTCAAGAAATTCAAACAAATCTACCTGAAACGTTGGTCCTTCGTTGAGTGGAGCAAATCCTGCACCTGTAGATGTAACAAAGTCTGTCTGTGGTATCTGTTGGTTCATAGACTGAATGCCAGTTTGGAACTCAAGTCCTGACTGAATATTCATATCACGTACTGGATTACTTGCTGTAGGTAGCACTCCAGCATTAGGCTGCGAGAACGGAACATTGGGGAACGTTGCAGCCGTTGGTGCCATAGTAAAGATTTCTTAAAAGGAAATGATTGAAATTTGTTAGCAATTTTAGAACTATGACATTTGAATTTATTTCAGTATTTTTCTGCTAAACGTTCGTTCGGAAGGTCATGGATAATTGCTTTTATCAAACGATACTGGTGTTCAGAACTACACTAAACTAAAACTATCCTGATATGGCAACCGTTTAAAAGTGTTTGGAGATAAAAAAAAAATCAGGATATATACTTAGCCATTGGGTTTACCTATTTGAATGCTACTTATCCTGACAAAAAATCCAAAATGAGATAAATAATATATTTACCTGCCGGCTGTGTTAAAGGCCTGACATCAACAATCGCTGGTTGTTGCTCAGTAATGACTGTAGGGGATGGAGGAATGACAGGAACAACCTTTACACCCGGCTGTGCAATAATGGTATCTGTTCCCGCAGCAACAACGGGGACTGCTGGTATTCCAGTTTCCTCAATAAGCGTCACTGCTCCAGGCAGACGTTCGTCACTCCTTTGCATATCTATTAAATAGAAAGCTCCTTATTTAGTCCATATTACTGATAAACCCGTTATAGTGATTCTACATATTCATTTTATTAGACATAACAATCAGAAAACGAAGGCAAAATAAAATATTATTTAAACTTACTGTTTGATGATGATGAAGATGAAGATGCTGATTTAGCAGAAGAAGCTGACGCAGATCTGTCATTTTGATGAACACCTGGTCTTTCATTTATGAAAGACGAATTGTTATTTGAAGAGGATGCAGAGCTGGACGAAAACGAAGTCGAACCAGACTTACTGACAGAGCTAGATGCTGAAACAGGTTGTATGTCATTGGTTGGAACAGCTGTATTGACACCTGATGGTTCGTTTGCTAGAAAAAAATATATTTTTGATGTTAATGTTTCTTGAAGCAACTAAAAAGCAGACAGAACACTTCAAGAATATATTGTTCTCGTTACAATTTCCACAACAAAATGGAATGAACTAGATATTTGATTTTTATTTTCATTTCAGTTGACCGATGACTTATTTTTTCTATTTTTTATTTTTTTTTTCTATTTTTTTTAAGTAACAACTTACTTGCTACGCATTCACACATTTACATGATTGTATAATTACAAACTACAAGAAAGGAACACTAAAATGAATACATCTATTAAGAAGAAAGGTTAAATTGTCTTCCTACCGATATTTCCCCGTCCTCTCGCAGCATTTATGCGTCTACGTATTGTTGCAATTAGTTCTTCCCTGGTCCTTGGCCTTGTACTTATATTAGTAGCATTTCTGGACTGTGACGATGATGATGATGATGCAGACGACGAGGAAGAAGACGAAGAAGATGACGATGAACTAGCTCTTCCTCTTATTCCATTTGAAGTTCCTACTCTTGAGGAACCTCGAGATTGTATGGCCTGTCGTATTTGTTGTAATACTTCAGGAGTTAAACCGGCCGCTTAACAAAAAACAGAAAATGATACCTATTATATTTTGAATATGCTTTCTGAAAAAGTTTATAGATATACAATGTATACCTAAAATTAAAACCATAGTAAATAAAAGTTTGAAAATATGACAAATAAGGGTCTTAAGAATGACTTTTTGATGGATGGCAGATATTACTGCTTATCATTGAAGCATTATTTAGAATAATATATTGTCTTTCTTGTTTAGATTTCAATATACATACCACTAGCACTTCTCGAAGGAGGACGAACAAGCATCACGTTCGCTTGTCTTCTTGCTTCTCCATTAGTTGCTGCCCCTATTGTGTAGAAATCATAAATATATATAATAGTGTACACGTGCATTTTTACACCAATCTTGATACATCATAATTTCCTATACCGTCTTATTCTATATGAAAACCATGTACACATGTAGAGGCGCAAATTTCAAAAATATTAACTTCCAAAACTACACACACAGGTATGTTTTAAAATATCATTAAATTCAGTAAATATATTTAATTATATCCAAGTAAATATATTTAATTACATGTATATCTAAATTGATTTTATTCAAACATGTTACCATTCTGTGTTCCTGGATTGACTCTTCTAACAGCATCAACCACAGATCGAGGATTGAATGGAACTGAACGTAATGAGCTTCTAGCTGCCGAAGGCAAACCCTCAACTAAAATGTATAACAATCTTTTTAAAATGTGTTGCTGTTAAATACATGTAAGTATCATTTTGCATATGCAAATCTGCACGGTGTATTTATACTCGTAATAAACAGTAAAAATAAACTTAACAGTTAAAAATGATTTGTGAAGAAATCTCAATATTTGTAAAAAAAAAAATATTAATTAGCCAACATTTATGGGGTAAAAGTGGAAAAAAGTGTATGTATAACGTACTTATTTAGCTGTATGAATTGTAATTGTGGAGACTTTAATTTCTACTAAATGGGTTTATTTTCAATCTTTGCAATCATGAAATATGTAAACGGTCAGAGTTTGAAAATAAATGAGTAACATTCGTTTAAAAGTTGTTCTCCACACATAGCAAAACAAGTAATCTTTTAATTTTTTACCAATACGGTATAGGTCATATGACGACTGTCCAGCTTTACTGGTAGAGAAAGACACGTTTGCACAAATGGGCACCTGAGTAAAACCACCGGCGTTCCCCAAGCCGAAGACTGATTCATAAAGTTATTGTTCAGGACAAAATTTACAAACTGGGAGATTATGAAAATAATGGCTTCGCATGTATAATTCTTGATAAATGCGCTCCTTGTAGTTGCCATCTATTCATATTTCAATTTTCAAGTCCATCTTTTACGAGGTTTGCTTTGGACAAAGATTGGTTTTGAAAATTTAAAAGGGAGGTCATTTAAAAAAGAGGAAAATACTTTGTTTTTCTTTTGCCTGTGCATTTCTCAATGTTTCTGATTATTTCAAGTTTTAAGTTTCAAGTCGCTTGAATATTCATAAGCTTGCGCTGCAGAAAAAAACTAAAGGTACCTAAAAAGGACTAATTAGAATAACGGTTCTAAATCCGTGCATATCTCCTAGTTGTCATATATTTATATTTTTAGGTTTCGAGTCAATCTCATGTACAGTTTACAGTTTTGAAGTTATGCTCAATACATAAAAGATAAAACTAAAAACGGGAAAACAATAACGGGAGATGATTCAAAGATGGACCCGGAAAGAGTTATTGGTCACTGCACTTTTCCTAGATGTTATCCGCTTAACCAGTTGCATAGCAATATACTGATGCTTTGTACAAAAATTAAAGGGAGCTTTTTTATGAATCTGGATTACATAAAGTTATAGTTCTTTATAATTGCACATATCATTGTTGCCAACTATTTATGTTTCAAGTTTCAAGTCCATATCTTAGACAGTGTTTAGCTTAAGGTCTTCAATGTACCCATTTTTATTATGTGACAGGAATGCGGCATCAGACCAAAGAAAGAACTGTTTAAACAGCAGTTTATAAAGTTTTGGAAGCCAGAAATAGACAGTGTTATAAATGATTGGAACAAAACTTTGGGAGAGAGCGAATTACGGAGATAATACCTTATTTCTGATCGCTTTTCCGGGTGGGGGATATTGCTTACATAAAAACTGTTTCATTTTACCCTATCACGCAGTATGTAAATTTAAACATTTTTCGGCAAAGTATAGCAAATTACAAAATGTTTATGCCAGCATATTACCTCCTATTTCCCGCAACCTAGAAAGAGGCGCTGCCGCAATGCGCCGACCTTGTCCAAGAAAACGCTGCGCACCTGTTGGAGAAATAATCTAGCATTAGCGATATCTAAAATTACATTTTAACATGTATATGATAATATGCAAGCATTAGTATTAAACATCACGCGTGCATTTAGATACAATGCAAGTTTGTAAACATGATACATTTGTCTTCATTCTGTCTATATTTCGTGTTTGTTTGTTTGTTTGTTTGTTTGTTTGTTGTTTTGTTGATGTTGTTGTTTTCGCAGCAGCAATGTTAATATTGTATGACGCACACACGAGGAAAGTACTTCCATCAACACTTATTCGCCATAATCTAGATAAAAGATTAACATAATTTTGTTATCTGACGAGTTTGATTTTTAAAACAAACGATTTATCTTTTTCATACAGCAAAACTGTATAAAATGCATGACTCTTGTTTTTGTGTCATAATAGCTGGGTATTTTTACCTGGTATTAGTTGTAGCCGTGGTCGAGCACCTTTTTCTCCCGGAATTATAAAACCTAAAATATGATAATAGTAAAGTATATTAAAAAGTTGACCATTTTTGCAAAGGAACAAATAAATTGCTATTTCCATCATTCAAACTGAATATCAAACCTATGTTGTTTCTTATGGGTTTTTTTGTGTTTTTTTTTTTTCAAATGATAAATGCTCTTTAGCTCAGTTATAATAATATAAAAAAGAAAAAAAGAAATAAGCTTACTTCATTTCATATTGTGCGAGAATGCTTTATATGTGCTTGAAGTATCAACATTGAATCGTCATTTATGTAAATATAAGACAACGGTGGTGGCCTTTGGTCGCTAACCTTAGAATCATTGTCAAAGAATGTCATACAATTTCTTCAGTACAGTAGAATATAGCTTATTGTTGACAAAAATTGCACACATGCACAATTATGATGTTCGTCTAACTGACTGGAATTGTGTATAAAGATGTCTTTCTCTAACAAAAGCTTTACATAAAATGTAATTTTCATAAATTTACTTGTAAATTGAAACTTAAGAAGTATAGTCACATTAAAAGAGAGAGAGAATCGTGCAAAATAAACTTACCAAGTAATCTTGGGGGACCTAAAAGATGAAAATGTCAAAACACATAAAATATAACTGCGCAATATTATATGAACTATATACATGTATAAGTATTATTCAAGTATTTACCTTTTTCTTACTGTGTCGAGTTTTTACATGAAATTTTAACAAAAAAACTAAACACGTGTATAGGTATGTATCTTTTACATAATTACTGTGACAAAACCAAAAATTACGTTTAAACAAAAACTAATCACGTTCAACGCTTAAAATTTACAATAAAATAATGAAACCATGATAAAATAAATCATAAATTTTAATGGAAAAAATAATAAAAAGACACTAAATATATGCTGTACCTCAAATATCTGCTGCTGAAAATCAGAAGTAATTAATGTAAACTATATCCGGCGCAAAAAGCATACTTACGTGTTTGTGAAGCAGACAAGCAAAATAAAGCCTCTATGAATTGTCGCTATATTTACAGGTTAAAAAAAATATGTGAACAGTTTTTCAGTGCGTATATTATTATGTACTATCTTATTATGTAATAACGTATAGCAAAAGAAATCTAACTTTGCTTTAACGATGAATGTTCCATGTTTAAACTTTATTATGTGTTTAAATGAAGAAAAAAGAGTAAGTTTTCCGCAGAGATATAGGTATCCTGGAAACATTTAAAAGGCGGTGATAGAGTAAAAAATTGCTCTACATAATATTCTCACATGTTCCTCTTAAAAGTTAAAGGTTTATTCATTTGTCTGCATACTTATGAGTTTTTTCAATGCAATTTATTTATTGTATTTTTGTTATGCATTTTTGATGATTTCTGCTAATGCACTAAATACGTAGCCGGAAATCAGAAGCTAAACTCTTTTTAAAGAGTTTATACATGTATTGTATTGTATTGTATTGTATCACATTGCATTGCTTTGTATTGAGTATTGTATTGTATTGTATTGCGTTGAGTTGATTTGCCTTGTGTGGTGTTGCGCTCCATTGTATTGTATTGTGTATTGTATATTTTATCTTATTGTATTGGAATGCATTGCATTGCAGTGTGTTGTATCGTGTATTGTATTGTATCGTATCGTATCGTATCGTATCGTATCGTATCCTATCGTATTCTAAGTAAAATCATATAAATCCGTCCTACTAGTATATAGTTTAAAAAAGATATGTAAGTATGTGAAGAATACTTAAACAACCCAGGGAAAGCGTTTACTTTCTTACTTGTGTATATTCGTTGAAATTGATTATGTGGAAAAAACCACCTCTAATAGCCTTTAACATTAACTGGTTAAAAAAAGCACGTAAGAATGACATGTATGTGAATGTATGTGAATGTTACACCTAACAAGTGCGTGCAGTGTTTTGATTCAAACAACCGCTAATCAGATTTTCATTACGTCAATAAACTTGTCATATTCATACAATGGACTGTCAACTTTGACGTAGGCCGTCTGATTCATGTATTTTAACGAATATTATAATGCCCCCGGGCCGCTAATTACTGATTAATATAAATATAACTTATCATCGCAACATGTATAAATATGTTTCTAGTGTTATTTGGTGGTAGGAAACTGTTTCACTTAGCCTAAATATTTATTGATAAATAAGGTACGCAAATATCGAATATGGAATAAACAACTTACAACGATTAACTTTCTTTTGCATCAATATAAACGCGAATTATTTTGTATGAGACATTTTAAGTTCTGTATTAATTGAATCATTTTGGTGTTGTTTTTTTCTTTATATACATGCATATTGATTTTATTACACTATTTTATTTAAAAAAAACTATGTAGAAAACCGCTAGATGCAAAACAATGCGTATAAAATGGCAACGTAATCTGAATAACATGTTTAAGTATATATACATGTAAGCTCTTTGATAGAAGCTCTTAAAAGCATCACAGTGTCACGTGACTGTGTCACGTGACTGTGTACAGTGCTCGAACACGTACACATAAAGCAGATATATAAAACAAGTGCATATAAATGTAAAGTGCCTGAAAAATAACACGTGACAGGGTTTGTTGGGATCCTAACTGAATCTTGAAATATGCGTATATTGATTTATCTTCAATATCAAATTGAAATTCCACGAGGACGTTTTACAATCAATTCCTTCCCAAACTAAATATAGGTTTTTCAGTTGAAAATAATTAATTTCATAATTGTTGGCAAAAGTAGATGAAATATTTTTCACCAGTAATTGTACATACCCGTCTCGTTGATATCTGTAAAATGAATAATATTAAAACGATATTAGACAGTAACAAATTAAAATTTACAGCGTTTAGTTATACGTATATATTTTATATGAATATTTATCATCGGGTGTTTCTATAACCCTAAATTCATAATTTCTTAAATGAATACATCCCAAAGTCACTTGAAATGGAAAACAATTGATTTTTTTAAATATTAAAATGAATTTTATCAGTTGATCTATCTGCAAAATTTATTCAAGATAAAATTTTGAATTATTAGAAAAATATTCTGTATCAAACATGCAATTTGTGTAAAAATGCTTATGGCCATCCGTAGACATGCTGCGGACTTGTGGCCTAGCATGAATGTCATGTGATTCGGAAATAGATTATACTGCTTATCAATTAAATACAAATGGTAGAAACATTTTAAATACACGATAATAATGATAAAGAAACTTAAGAAATTTCGTTATAAGCATTATATTTATCGATTTGCAATGTATAAAAATAAATATAAAATAAATGAGTATATTAAATAATAATAGAGATAAAAAAAAACAGCACAGAGCTCGGGCTAAGTGGTTTTAAAAATGCGGTTTTTTTTTTCAATAAGGAGAGACAAAAAAATTACCACGACAGACAATCTGCATTGTTTTGAGAGACTAAAAATGCAAATACCTCAATCTTTTTTTCTATTTTTATTTGAAGAAAAGCGTCTTAACGCATTGATAACATTCGTATCTTATAAGGCCTGTGTGCAAAATTGTCATATCTTTACTATGATTACATATAGTAATTCCAATTTTCGTAATAGTATTTTAGTATATTTAATATGCATGAAGTACGTATTTTCGGGAAATAGCTAAATAGTGAGAGTGAATATGATACCTTATATATATTTAATAATTGTTTCCTTCTTTATACGGTTTTTTATTATTTGAAGTAATTGCATTGCAAATATACTACATACATACCACGACTTATTTATCGAGATTGATCGGACATTGACAAACACTTTGTAATGTATTTGCTGGAAGCTAGTGTATTTGGATGATTGTCTCTTTGGATTATAAGTCAGACCAATATTGGTAAGGTCATACGCATGACAGACTTCCCAGCTTTACTGATAGAGGAAAACCTTATTTGTCCGTTGGTGAATTAATTAAGACACAGGCGGCACCTAAGTAGAGCCACCGACTCCCCGTAAGCTAGCTGACTATAGCTTTTTTCACATGAAATAAACCAAAGTCCCCTGTGCGATTCGAACCCACAGCGGTGAGTGACAAGTGATTTGAAGGATACCTAAACCACTCGGCCACGGTATCTAAATAATAATATAAACTACTACTAGTGATGTACAACTTGTGAGTGATTTCATGCTGATGTTGACCGCTACAAACAATTTGTGACAACCATGGTTGTAAATGTTTACAAACCAAATAACAGGATTGAGAGCGATTTTTTTTCAAGCGTAGTTCATTTTATATCTGTAAATTATTTATTCATTATAAAAAAATAGAAAGAAAAAAAGTAAAGTGGAGTATACTCACGATTCGACGAAACCGAAACTGAAAAGACAAAAAAAAATAGTACATTAATGAATCTCATAAAACATATAGTGATAAATGGGGGAAAAAAAGACTTTTATGCGAAATGGGAGAAGGGGCGTAAATGGTTAACATACAAAACTAACAAAAAAGTATTACAATAATGTGTTTTTCACGTTGTAATGTAAAATACATCATGTTCCGAGGTTAAAACATAGTTTTGAAAATTAATATTACTAATCATCACACAATGATTAATTGTTACTAAGATTTAACAGTCATGCTTATGTTTGCTTAATTTCTCAACAACAAAAAACCGTAAATACAGAAATGTTCACATAGGTTATTTTTCAAAATTAACTATTCTTAACAAATGGTTAATCATTTATGTTACATCAAATTTTTTACTAAGTTGTTGAATAATGATAAAATGTATTCTTTCGTTATTGCCTTTTTGCCCAACGCAGAAAGCGCATGCGCGAAATGCTACTTCCGTTTCTATGAAAATATCGTATTGTAAAAAGGTCTATAAGTTTCTGATTTGATACTTTTTCTTGAAAATAAAATAACAAGATTTAGGGAGTATTCATAAGAACTCTACTTTTATGTATATTTATGTTTAGAACACGAATAGTATTAAAATAAATTTCAAAAGCATGGATGTGTCCCCAAACTATATCATTAATTAACTTTTTTTCAAAATCGGAAATGCTGTGTGTCATATACGGTACTGCTATTGGTTGGATTTTAAATTAAACAATATCAATTTCCCTTCATAATTGAATCAGTACGTTCGAAGATCAAAAAGATCATGTGACAAGCTTGTCAATCTGTGACATTTAAAAAAGGCATTTCAATATTATAATTTATGTTTTCATCGTGACATAACGGTTTACTTTCCATATCTGCATGTATTGACCTGATCTATAATTCAATCATGTTCTTGCTTGGATAAATCATTTAATTGTTTCAAGGAAGCAGACGACAATAAAAGATAACAATGAATCGTTTGTAGTAACAATAAACGGTTGTGCTGTCAATACTCTTCATACGTATAAGGTGTGGCTGCCATTTTTTCGTATGTGCCATTTTCTGTTTACGTATGTATAAGGTGTAGCTCATATCTATACGGAATGACTTTTTGTGTTCTTCGTGGGGCAGAAAACACGAGTGTGTTATACAGTAGAATGAGAAGGTTCCATTCTTTATTCGATTAAAATAAGGATTTTTTTAAAAGTAAAAAGTTTTTTTTATTGTTTTTTATTATTTTTGTACCATGCAGATAATAAAATGTCACGTGGTTAGTCGGATGGTTTCGTTTTAGTATAAGGTGGTTCGTATGAAGTTGGGCTACTATTTGTTAAAGTATTCATCAGGTGTGGCTGCCACTTTTTCGTATAAAATGGGGCTCAACTCCATTCTTTTTGTTAACAGTACGGCTACGTGAGGTGGTGCTGCCATTTAACAATCGGAACATCTCGGCTATTATCAATAATAACCTCGGACTTAAACTGATTGAAAGTAGTTCTACCACGTGGTTTAAGATGTAAACAAAACAAACAGTGTGATCTTTGATTATGTCTAACAAGTGTATATTTTTGAAATCCAAAAGAAAATGAAGTTTATTTGGTAAAATTATGATTGAAAATATGTCCGATAATCATAATCAATTTTAAAATGCCCATTGATATACAGATTCAAACAAATCTCAATAAATGTCAACAGGTGGACATTTTGCACTTTCGGTTTACTCCCAGCATACATTGCTATTTGTTTACATGTTTAGTTTCTTAGCCTAGGTTAGACCGAAATACCGCATCCGTTCTGTGTATTCTTACTATTGTGTCCGATGTTTGGCGGAAAGGGCCGAGAAGATGCGATTGGCCATTTCCTATAGCATCATTTTAAACTGTCAGTTACTTTATTAGTATACAGTGGAACTGCCATTTCTCTTATCAAGCAGAGGGTCGTAATTAGTTTCAATATAAGATGGGACCACCAATGATAAAATGATTTTTTAAGCTAGCTGCTTATCAGCAACGTGTCAGACCCAAAATATTTCCAAAGGACAAAGGGATAAAGATGTTAAATTTTCTAGCCTTCTTGTCATGCTTCACAGTTGCGCTAGTCATTTTTAAAGTCTCCATCAAATAACTGAGTTTGTGTTCGGCCGGTTTACATTTCGGCTTATGTCCTCTAAGTGTAACTTGAACCAGTGTAGTACACACATACTCTTATTAAGCATTCCATTTCATTTCAATATAGCAAGTTGATACAAGATGTCTGTCAAATATCCGAGTTATCGTTCGTAGCAATGTTTGATATTGAACATCTAATTGTGACCTTGACCCTTTGAGCTTAATACATAGTTCTTGTCTTTAACAAACTGGTTCAACGTTCATAACTTTTGCCAAATTATTATAAAGTACCCTATTCAAATGATTAAGTGATTATCCGTTCAAAGCAAGACATTGACAATTTAAAATTTAGTGTGGCCTTTTATTAAGCATTACATTTGTGTAAGTTAATATTTCAAAATTTCCAGTCAAAAGGAGAGTTATGCACACGGTTTGGACCAATAGCTTGTGATACCCATATTTAAATGTAACCTTAAAATGTAGCCTTGACCTTTATGCCATGATCTGCTTGTTAAGCCGAACAAAATGCCAATGTGAACTTTGACCTCTGACTATGTTCTTTCGTTTCACTGATGTTGACGTCTAATAATTTCTCAATCCATGTCGGAGTTACAGCCGTTACAAGAAAAGTGCTCGAGGTGTGTTCGATGTCCTTATCCAAAGACTGACGGAAATGGTTAAAAAGTTGTGATTGGTCTAGACAATAACTTCATAACAATCGTATCTTCTCGGCTCTTTCCGTCAAACTTTGAACACAATAGAAAGAATACACAGTACGGACGCGATATATTTCGGTTTAAAATACGCTAAAACTGAGTTTAACATGCACAAAAAGTGTTAATTAAATGCTAGGGGTTGTTGACTTAATTTATTCCAATATATCGAGTAAAAAGTTTGGTAAATTTACAGATATAAAGGTTAGCAATACATTAAATATAAAATTAATATTATCATTATGGCTGTAGAAACCGAAAGTACAAATTGTCTAAGTGTTGATATTAATTCGGATTTGGTTAAAATTATTGTACATATGTGGGCATTTTTAAATTAATTATGATTGTCAGGCATATTTAAATCATAATTTTACACACAAAAAAAGACTTTATGTATACATTCGTTATAAGTTAACAAAGATTACATCCTCTGTTTTTGTTTACATCTAAAACAACTTCCAATCCGTATAAAGTTTGAGGTTAGTATGTATAATAGCCGAGGTGTTCCAATCTAACGCGAATACGCACATATAAGTTAAAGTAAGTGGAATTAGGCTCGACAAAAATCAAAAACGCATGGAATAGTCAAATGTGTTATATGTGTACTAAAGATAAAAAAAATCATACTGAGAAAAATATATAAAGCTGTATTATTAGCTGCATGTTTGTGCATTTTTGCTTCCAAAAGCGCGTCAATTAATTTTATTACTTACGACCATTTTAGCGCCAGTTTGACCGACAAACTGGTCCATCTTCGGTATTCGTAACAATCGAATATGTAACATACATAACAAATCAAAAGAAAAAAAAACGTTTTCTTTTCGAAATCAATAAGCTTAATTAAATTAAGGTTTGGTGAAATAATTTTGATAGCCTAGCAATTTAAGTTAAATGAAGTAGTTCATTTCTTTATGATTATATATTATGACAATAAAACATTTTTTATTCCCGATTTCTAACTTTAATTTCGAAACAAAAAAGATGCAACATTGTTTTTCTTTTCTTTTCTTTTTTTCCTGTTAGTGATATTTATCAAATTCGTTGATGCTGAACTATTTGCTGTTGGATTATTATAATAATCAAAGTACTGGAGTACAGATGAGCTGGCTGCCTGTTACTTTATGTTTCACTCATATTTAATGTATTATTAGTATATCTTTATTAAAACCAGACTGCGCTGCTTTCAGGAAATGAAAGGGATTATATCATTTTTTTAAAAATCATAAGTTCTGTGGTTTATTAGAACAGCTGAAATTTGCTAATAGGTCATGGTAAAAAACTTTTTTTTATAATAGTGCGAGTTGATATCAAATTTCAGAGGGATTCAACCCATTTAATAATCGATGTTCACGAATCAATCAATTAAACTGGTAACAGTTAGAGGACAAAAGAAGAACATCAGATAACTAATATCACATCGATAATAGAGTGTTTATATTCAAATACATTCATACTTAATCAATAAAATAAGTATATTTTTGTCATTATGACAAATTATTGTTGTTGCTTTCTTTATAGTTACATGACAATTTGAAAAAAAAAATGATGGATTCTTTCTTGAGTTCGTAATGACTTAACAACACAAAATAATGTGAAATGTGTATGTCAAGAAAAACTTCTTGAATTAAGGATTTTTTATTAAAAATAAAACTTATTATTAAGTTGATCTCATTTGATTAACAACAATAACGTTTAAACAACATTGAGGTAGAAAAAAGTAACATACAGTTAATGATAAAAATGTTTAAACAGAGCGTGTTATTCAGTGAGTGATAGGCAATGAGTGTTATACAAATATGCAGTGATATACAGTGAATGCTTAAAGATGAGTAATGTACAGTAAGTGCTTAAAATGAGTGACATACAGTAATTGTTTAAAACAGGGTGATATACAGTAAGTGCTTAACAGTAAGTTCCTAACAGTGAGTGCTTAAAGAGACTCCACTGAGGTTTAAAAGCCTAAACACATAACATTTGAATTTCTTACATAAATGAGCCGGGGCACTTAAAACATAAATATGTGCAAAATAGTTAATAAATATACTTTGAAATAAATTGAAAATCGTATTTTTATGCTTTTCTTAGCCCGATTTGAGTGAAAAGTGTTTAAACGCTTTTCATTTTGGGTCATTTTTTTACAATTTGAACAATTATTCTGGAAAAACGAAGTGCGGGAATGATCTGAAATTTTGCACAAATATTAGTGGTCTAAACCTACATCAAATGGTACATTTATCTGGAAAAAATATTTTCAGTCCCATCATGTTAAAAAATCTCAGTGGAGTCCCTTTAACCGTGAATGACATACAGTGAGTGATATATTAACAGTATGTGCTATATAGTTAGAAAATACTGTGAGTGATATACTGTATCACAGATTGAGAGCGATATACTGTATATACAGTGTGTAATATTGTACATTATACAGTGAGTGGTCTGTATTCAGAAATACAAACTGTATAAACTATACAATTTGAAATATTGTGCATTATTAGTTTTCATGGCAGTAAGACACATTGATTTAACCAGAGCACAGTTCAGCCACGCATCGTTCCTGGGCAGGCTGTCAAGCAGTTAACCAGTACTATTTGCCTTTGAACTGATTACTTCTGTACATGCAAGAGCAGAGGTACAGTGCAAATGACCGTAGAAAAGATTGCATGATCAATCACAACGAAAGTGATCTGCGCCGTCCGAGAATCGAACCCGGGTCACCCGATTCACAGTCCTACCTATAGAGCTAACCAGGCGGCAGATTGGATGATACATTTTGAATGGTATATATTAAGTGATATACGCAGAATATGATTATTAGCATTACATAACTTTCTTATATTTTCATTGTTGATTTTTAAAATAAAATGACAATTCGTATCAATATTATTAACATTTTGATAGAAAAAAAAATCAAGACAATTTCCAGGGATAATATTTTGATAATTATTACATTTTCAATATAAAATCACGTGACTTTCTTATGAGGTATAAAACTTATAAAGTTTTAAATAATTATAACATGAAATAATAAGATTATACTTACAAATTAGAGATATAAATATCCCAAAGAGAAGACTAACTTGACCAAAACGAGTGCCCATGTTTGGTGTAATATTTCTTGCGAGGATTTCTTGACGTCTGGAAAACTGAAGTTTCGTCTGCTGTATGTATAGAACTCACAATATATTAAAGGAAAAATTCTGTGTCAAGAAATGTTTTACGTACTTGATTTTAAGAAATTAAATCGCGTTTTTTAATTGATTAAACTCCAAGAAAAAAATGAACCTGTTCCGCAGCGCACAAGAAATTGTTTCTTTTGAACGAAGACGAAGTCTGCGGTATATTGACGTCACACAATTGATTTGGTTCCCAAAAAGCGCTGACAAATCATAACATATATCATAACGGGAACCAGATAATTATAAAATGACGGGATCGATCATAAATGTCATTTGACATGAATGTTAAGACAAAGTACACGTCAATTTTATCATAATATAATTGTCACCTGTATTTATCATAATTATAAGATATAAAATTAGGAAAAGTCTAGCTAATGTCTCAGATCAATTCACCTTTGACCCGAGAAAACTATCAAACATTAGAAATTTCGTTTTTGGAAGGCATAAAATGACAATTTTGATATTAATGAATAGGAAAAATAATCATGAGTGCAAATTTTAGCCCCTAGATTTTATTAATCGACATTAATTAAGTTGATACGGCTTCCGGACTAAATTAAGAAATTTAATTCACAAATCTGCATAATTCAAACAAAGCCTGTTTTATTCATTGATTGAAATTAAAATCAATACCAATCATGTCACGTGACTCTAGTCACATCCACACAAGTTTTAATTAGTCTTTAGATTTATAAAAGAAAAAGAAACTATCAAAACTTTTGATTAAATATAAAATATATTCAGAATAACGTTTTTCATATTTACAATTTTGCCAAATTTCTACCCCCGTTAGTAACGAAGTCAAATGCCATTTCATTTTTAACTGGATACGTTTTGCTGCTTCATAAAACACTGTCATAGATACAAATGTAGGCAAAAGAAATAAAAATGTCAACCAAACATTTTCTTTGAAAGGGAATCTCGGTATTGCAAGAATATCTAACATGTTAAAACCTAATCAAATATACAGTTTCATCTGCAGAATTACTTCAAATAACGAGAAAAGTTGGGGCATCGATTTAGCGACAATCAAAACACGTTTTGCTAAAAACCTGACACATTTTGCAATAAAAGGTAACACATATAACGTGATAGGAAAGCTGTAACTATTAAAATTCTAAAACCTAAATTACAATGTAATTGTATTCATAATCTCTAATTAAGACATTTGCATTCTTTTTGTCGGAAACTGCGAATTCAGTTCAAAATAAGAACAATATATCGCTTGTAGGAAAAAATAAAATACCAATGGTAAAAATAAATACATACATTATAGCATTGAGTAACCTAGCTAGGGAATGGTCAAGCGGTACATTGGACACATTATTTTCTTAGCTTTTGATTGGCTATTTTATCTGCATACGTACTTAAGTACAGTAACCTAACTGGTCTGTTTAAGCTAAGGACATTTGTTGTAAGTAATACCACACAGAAACCAACAATTACATATACATGTATAATCTATTTTGCTTGCTCATAAAGCAAAACAATAACCTTTGACCAGAGAAATACATTACGTGTGTACTCATATGTGTACATTACGTTTATCTGGACTCAAAATGTCAAGCATGAGTTCGGACAATGTATCTTTGCTGCATTTTATGTCTTCTTACAGATTAAAACCCGCACGATTATTAATTGGAGCACCAGAATCAAGTACTACAGGTGTATAAATCTCATAAAACCATCATCCGCAAGTCCATGCTAGGGGGACTGTATATAAAACGCGCAACCGCCGTCCATTATTATTATAATGTCGTACAATAATTACGTAAAATCACGAACCAGGAAACTGCAAAAACAATGCAATACAATAATAGTACGGTGAAGACACGATAATTTGCAATCACACATTCTTTATTTAATTACCCCAAAGACGGTGTCAATCAAAGAAATGATTGTCAAAATGGTGGAAACATTTAAGTAAGCATTGTGCGAGATCATATAATAATTTGCATGATGATACAATGAAATATAATCTAACTGCGCAAAACTGCATCAAAATAATTAATTTGACATTTATGTAACTAGATAACGACCTGTGCTTATTCACATAATAGTGGGGATATTTTGTATGAAATATAAAGCTACTGAAAAAGAATATTGCAAAAGGGTGCTCGTGCTAATGGTCAGTAAGTATCTATATATGTACCTTTAAATGTAAAGTGCCCTGAAAAAATGAGCAACGAAAGTATCCGTAATTATAAACATTTAAAACCTAATTACAGTATCAAGCAAAATGTATGACGCAAAATTGTCATCAATGTTTAAAATATTACGTATATCGCACAATGCGTGCCTATATACAACCTTAGAAAACTTTTATATTGCCACTTTCTTTGCGTAAATAATTATACGTGTTATTTTAAAGTTCGGAATTGTATTTCTTAACAAGGAAAATGTTATTTATCTAATCTAAATCTAATCAGGCCATAGAGGTATATTAAAATGTATTATAAGTATCTGGTAAGGCTGGTCCAAAAGACCTTTTTACTGTAGAAACGGAATGCGAATGCGCGTACTGCATAGTGCAAAAACGATGTCGGTGTAATTACAGGAATGGTACTTTTTAGGATTTTAAACGATTTTATATTTCTTGTAGACATTCTAATTTTTTCCAAACCATAAACTAACAGTTTAAAAGCTATTATTTTGCAAAATTACCGATGCAAATTGAATTTTTCTGAAAACACTAGCAGGCATTAAAGCTTTAAACAGAGCTACATTGTATATATAGAGAATATTGAGTAAGTGTAGGTTCAATACTGAATTTATTGAACGAGTTTAATAAAATCATATTATGCGAGCCTAAACTCATATTATGCGAGCCTTTGGCGAGCATAATACTATCTAATTTAACGAGTTCAATAAATTAAGTAAAGAACCTGTAGGAATATAATTTATATTCTATTATCACATATCCAAAATATAAAAAAATGTTTACATTAAATAGAAATATATGCACGGCAGTGCAATACCGTTTTAATTGAGTCGCAAAAGGGCACGTGTATGTGATAAACTTTTCACTTCACCTCGGTAAGTGCACGTCGTGGAGAATGCATTGGCGGAAGATTCGAAGAACTTTGAACGGCGTAAAAGAAAACCAAAACTTGTATCCTGCTGTCCAGCTGCCGATATCCTGACTAAAACAGAGGGTAGTTGCCCTACAGAGTAGACAGACACGAAGAAGGTGTCATGCACGCTAGCAACAAGTGGAGGCTTAAATGCAGGAACTTTGCTTGGCACCAACAGCTCTTTTCATGGGCGATTTATGTATACTAGCCCTCCTCCAACACTTAAAGGCTATGTTTTTGTATTTCGTAACTCAGGTACTGGGTTTTCCTAAATACAATGTCAAATGTCCAGGTACAAACCTCGGCCTGTTATACAGTATTTTTATTAATCGGAGAAGGCATTATGGATTCTTTTCAGCGAGTTGCAGAAGTTCTCAAATAGCAGACCACACACAGCTAGGGGCTATTGCTATTACTTATACAATCATCACAATTTCAGATTTGACAGAATTCTTCGTACACATAAAACTGACATTTTTGCATGGTGAACATTTATGTAAGTGCGTTTTGTAAAATGCATTTTGTCAGCTATGGAACGTCTAAGCAGAGACATAGATATCTACATCTCTGGTCTAAGTCTTCAACAAGCTTGCGACGAGGCAAATATTTCCAGTGCGCATGAAGTGTATCTAACGTAATGATAGATTCTAGTCACGAATGCCCTCTTCCATATAATGACCAGGATTTGTGACGGCGATAAAAGAATTCCTGAATTAAGTTTTTTCCTCATTATCAGTTGGATAGTGTTCTGTACAAATTGGGACATATTTGGCAGCTTGCCATATATCGTTTCTCAACCTGTGTTCAAATATATTCCCGAATTTTGTTAAATAATCTTAAAATATTTCGTTTCATGTAATGGCTGGTCTAGTTTTGCCTGCAATGTCCATTATTAACACCAAAAGCGACACACAAGTACATGTGTACTTGACGGACGTGTATCAAAATCCCACTTTTAAGTTGTATGAATATTGAATAATTGTTCAGTACAACATCGTGAGATATTAGAATGAAACTGTCATATTGTCATATTTTCTTGCGTTAAATTACAGCATAGAAGTTAAATTAATTTCTTCATTTGGAAAAGTCGTTGACAATCTGCAGTATCTGATATATTCTTTCTTATACAGAAGTCTTTTCTTGTGTTAATCTGAAATGAGATATGTCCGCAAGGTTTTTGTGGCGGTTTGCATAGTTGTATGCATGCCAATATTAAATATGTCACTTGGTAAAATCATATGTATACCTCTCCCGTCTCATTTCAGTCACAATTAAATATTGGGCCCTCCTAATGTGCAAAAATGGTTTCCTGAGATCTGAAACCCGTATCATTGGAATACGGTAGCAGAGCCCCGGAAACCACAGTTTTGCACATTCTGAAGGACAAAACAAATTCAGTGTCTTCAACGCTTTGCAAATGTATTTCCGTTATATTTTTTATTTGGAATGGGAATATACCATATCCATATCAAAAATACATATATTCAGGGAATATATACGAGGACAGTTGCAAATGTTGTCAAAACTTGTTATGCAATCTTTTCCCCTTTGTTATAATGGACGTTATGTGTATTACCGATAATATTTCACATAGCTAAGGTGGCATATTGGTGTTTGATAGCTCTAGATTTAGTAACAGTGATCTTGACCCTCTCAAAAGTTAAGGTTTTGATAGCTCTAAATTTTATAACATTGACCTTGACCCACCCAAAAGCAAACCCTTGGGAGGTCTTACATAAGCTTGCTATATGCTAAGTTTGATTACAATATCTCTTTCCTAATCTTAATTATCATCCAGGAACCATTCTTTCTATTTTTGGTAACAGTCAGTACTTGACCCTTGGGAGCCCAAAAGCAATCCCAAGCAAGGACCCCACGTAAACTTTCTTAAAATAATAATACACAAAGTTTGATTTCTAACTCAAATTATTGTCTAAAAACCAAAAGATCGCCCAACCCACAAGCTCACTCCTACATCATTTGGGCCAGTACACTACTTAGCTCTACATAAGCATAACAAGAGCAATCAGTAATCACATGTGTCGCCTCATGATGGCCAATTTCATGTTGGGACAAATTTTGTGACAGAAGGACAGACA